AACCAACCAAACTATTTCGGCATTTTTTGATATTTAATATTTTTTTTTTATATTTTTATATATTTTTTTTAAAATTTTTTTTTATTTTTTGTGTGCCTCGCATGCCTCGCACGCCTCGCACGGTGCCTCGCACGCCTCGCTGCCTCGCACTTTGTAAGGACCCACGTTGGCTATAGCACATGCTTCGATGAATGGACACCCTTCAGGGCCGATAGAGGATTTGGATATTTTCCGTTTGTTCGCAGCGAAAAGCTGTCCATTCCCTCAGAAAACTCTCTAGAGGATAGAAAAGAATCGTTCCATGGCCAACTTGCTCGTGAAATAAAGAAAAAGCTTTGGTCTGGACGGCGAGAGGACCCTGATATAAACATAGACCTTAATGTTGACCAAGATGTTTTCATGGAAGGTCTTGGGAATGTTTTGCCCGGTTTTCTTCAAAGAGGGAAGATGGTTTACCAATTGGAGTCAAATAGGGTGCTTGATTCATATCTGGGGCTGAAGTAGGATGAAAGAATTTTAAATGTAGCTGAAGATTTTGCCTATGTAATTCCAGGAACTATTAAGTATTGGTTGGGACAAAGAAGTCCAATCATTGAATACAAGCTCATCGTTGTAGGTGTTCTTAACCCTTTCATAACCTGCTGTCTCCAGGAACTGAATCCTGTTTTTCTTCAGAAACAGTTGTTTGAGGGCATCAACCCCTTTGTGATTTGTGGATCTGAAGAAATCTTTAGAAGCTCTACTATTGTATTTTTCCAAGCCTTGCTGTGTGTAATATGCTATGTTCTGATAAAGTGACAGGAACTCAGGAACATGATAACATAGTGCATGCATGTAGGGAGTGACATCTTTTGCTTGGTAAACTTTGAGAAAGTGCTCAAACCATGATTTGATATTTCTTTGCAGTTCAAGAATACCCTCTTCAGATGTAAGATCTAGCTTCAAATCACCAATTATGTCCATAAATTTAGCCCAGATCACTTGTATGTCTTTGTTTTGACTGCAATGAGGGACAAGCATAGGTTGGAATGTTTATATTCTGAAAGAGTTTCAACTTTTCTGGTCCAGTAAGATCTCTTTATTCCAGCTTTTTGCTCTCTTTGTTGATTCTCAAATTAAAAGTGATTCCCATACTTTTGATAAATTCTTCATAACATGCCATGTGTTTATATTTATATCTTTTTTTCCTCAATAGCATCACTTCTTCTCAGCTCTCTTATGAACAAGTCAATCAAAACATCTGAAATCATCAGAAAAAAATGTAAGGTATCTATGATGACATGGTCCATAGGTATAAAATCAAATAATGGTTGTGCCTTACAGTTTAATTTCTTTCCAGTGGAAAACCTTGCTATTTCGGTGACAGTTCTAGCACCAAATTTGGGGTCATTAATTGACCATGTTTTGCTTGTGTCCCACTGTTGCTCCCTGGGACACTTGCACCACACACAAGCATAATCCTCATTTGCCCTGCCTAAACCACATACCAGTGCTAAAAATTTCAAATCTCCACCTAAAAAGTATTCAATTTTATCGGTGCAGCTATTTGCACTTATCTCCTTTAAGTTTGACATTTCCATTCGAAGGTCTGCTACGCTGTCTCTCAGATTATCATATGTCTCTGTAGTTTTTATAACAGCAAGTATATGATTTCCCTTCTCACCCATTGCCACATCCTTTTCATGGAGAATAGTAAAAGTGAAGTTGACAACTGTAAGCCCCTTTCCAATATTTGTACCATCACCACTAAGCTTGATCTTAATAGTTTCTCCATCATTGATTTCTCCATTCTTCTGAAGCCTAACAATGTGCTCTTGCAAGCTTTTTGCAAATCCTAACTGCACACTTTTAGCAACTCCTGGTGTTGGTTTCAAGTTCCATTCACTGTTTAGCTCATTAATTCGCTACTTGATGGAATATATATTGGGGAGATCATTAGCCTTAATGCCAGACCTCATTTGAAATAATAAATTTGTCTTTGAGGTTAAGAGCCACATATTTATGTTATCAATGTCATCATTATTAAGGGCCTTTGGGTCAGACTCTGTAAATGGCAGCTCTCCCTCTCCAACAAGATTGAAAGTTTCATATTGATTAGTCACAGTGTTGAGGACTTCAATTTTGGTTGCAACAAAATTGTACAGCCCAAGAAAGGAGAGTGTAGTCTGGCACTCCTCCTTCAGTTGATTTTTAATTCTCTGTTGATGGTGCTTAGAATAGTCATTAAACTTCTTCTTAGGTGGGCCTCTACCTTTTTTCCCATTTGTTATCACTTTTTTGGCCAACTGAATAAATTTTTTATTGTAGAAGGCCCCTTTCTTCTCAGCTTTCTCGAGAGCTTCTCGGGCTTTTTTATCCACTCGCAATGACGCTTTGCCTTCTCCTGTACCAACGATTCTTCTAATTTTATTTTTTCCCCCCTCAACTGGCTGTTCTCATCTTTAAGCTGATGTACATCAACCTCGTTGTAATACACCTTAAATCGATACCGAGGGCCCGTTTCCAAATTGCTAAGAAGTGCATTTAATTGTCACGATTACTAGCTTTCTTAACAGCTTTCTGAAAACAGAATATTTTCTTTCTGAAGACTTCTGATATATGGCTATTGATTATTATACCTCGTATACCTGATTGTTCAACACTTTGTTTACAATTATTGAAAGGACCCACTCATGGTTTTCTCTGAAAACTTCTTTGCTTTCAAATAGTATAGATTAGTAAGCTGAAACGAAAATTAATCAGGAAACTTTACGAAAAATCCAGCGAACAAGCTTAAAAAGGGCATTTATTTAGACTTCATACTGCGATGAACTTCACAAATCTTACTTGTTTATCTCGTAAATAAACAATGGCAGATTAATTCCCGAAGCGATTTCTGAGTTTCCCGATCCCTCTCCTACTGCTTTCACGCTCACAAAACAGGAAAAAATCAAAAGGAGAAAGATACAGCTGTTTTGAAACGCCATTTGACGAGGGTAAATCTGCTTTTTGTTCGACACTTTACATATCAAAACAAAGGAAATTTGTTCCTCTTTTTGATTCTGGCGGTACATTTTTAAATTGCGCTTGCGTAAAAGGGATATCGCCCGGGACGCTTCGCTCGGTTGTGTTTTGAACAAAAACGCCTTGTTAATTTCACGCAACCGCTCGGAGAAAAGGTTAAAATGACGAGGGAAAAACTTTACCTTCAAGTTAGAAAATTAGCGACATAGAAAGCCACAATATTGTAGTTTAATATTTCAGAGGTACATTGAGTGCTTTTTCCGTAGAGAATCCGCACGATGGTAAAATGTTCGAAAATTACACTCGATTTGAGTGGGGTGTTAAAGTGGGCGTGGTCACTATATTCGTGTTAAGACTATTTGTACCCCATGAGTTTGATATGCTTCCCAAACTTTTATTCATTTATTTTTGTAAAAATTAAAGGAGAAGTAAATGGATATCAGGCTTCACAGTCATTTGCGTATTTAAGTTTTTCTAGGCGCTGTCATAAACTGAAAAGCTTGAAAAGTAAAATGATTGCAAACCTTTTGTGCGAACAATCCTTAAATGTGATTTAAATAAGGATGTAGGTATTGAGATTTCAAGTTACTCGTTCAACTCATTATATATGTCACTTTAGCGAAAAAGGCTAAGATCAGAGTATTTCAGGTATTTTTAAACTTTAAACTCACTCCGTTGATCTTTTTCACAGTTTGGTTTGCAGTCATGCGGTAAGGAAGGATTGGTCACTGATACTGCCTTAGTTTTCCCTTCTTTGCAAATGGCTGCCGCTCTGGACCCAGATGAAGTACTTCGCTCTTCGAAAGGGAGAGATAATTTTCAACGTCTGGCTCGGCTTTTGATGAGTGGAGGTACTGTGCTAATGAGGGAGGCTTTTGACATCAAATGTCCACCAAGTAATCTGTCCACAATACTTCAGAATCCAGCCACGAAGAAGCTACTTAAGGCGGCAAAGCTCACCAAACCACAGTGGGACTGCCTGTACCCTTCCCCAGGGATGTTTGGAAAGTCAACAGACTGTGATATAACTCTCCTTTTCCGGTTGCTGAGGACAATATGTGGCCTCACCCCTCCTGTCACGGGCTGGGATGTGCTACCGGCAAGCACAGATTACAGTTTGGAAGCAGATTTAGCTAGAATCAAATATTACCGCAATTCGCTGTATGGTCATGTGAATGAGAACATGGAAATCTCAGGTGACGAGTTTTTAGTTTATTGGAGAGGAATCAGCGAGGCTCTGGTGAGAATCGCGGGTCAAATCAGCCCTGCAAAGGCAAAAGAATGGCAGAATGCTATTGATACATTTTTAAAAGATCCCCTTACAGAGGAAGACAAGAGATATGAGCAGGAATTGCACCGCTGGTACCAGAATGATACAGAAATAAAGGAATACATGGAAAAAGTAGAATTTTCGATAAAACATATGGTGAAAGAAGCTCAATACTTAAGACAAGAGGTTCGAGAAGAAGCCCAAGATATTAAAGATGAGCTCGGAAGGAAAGTAGAATTTACAGGCCAAGAGGTGCGACGCTTAGGACAAGACATCAAAGATGAGCTCGGAGTGAAAGTAGAATCTACAGCCCAAGAAGTGCTGCGCCTAGCACAAGAATTTCGAAGAGAAGCCCAAGACATCAAAGATGAGCTCGGGGGGAAATTTGAATCTGCAGCCCAAGAAGTGCAGCGCTTGAGGCAAGAGTTTCGAGATGAAGCCCAAGACATCAAAGATCGATTAAACGTGTTTGGCCGACACGTTTCCTCAGCTGGAGGTCAGCTTGTTGATTTTATTCTGTATATCTTTTACTAATAAAGCATTTATCTCTAACATAGGAACTTATCAGGGTTACCTGTAAGGTGCACATTGTGCACATATTTTGACAGAAATGCCTTCGCATATTTTTGAAGCGGAGAAATGTCAATTATTTCTCGTTACTTGACTACAGCCGGGCGACCACTCGCAGTAATTGTCTGTTTTGCCTTTGTTGTATAAGGTTGATCGCTGCAATTAATTAGACTTGTTCCCCTTACAGTTAACATTCCAATGTTGATGGATTGTGAGACCATCCCAGACCCTCATCTGCGACTTGAGACATCAGGGACAGTGGTTATAGCCAGTCAGGGTACCAAGCCTTGTAGGGACGAGCCGGTAGTTCCTAGAACGTCAAAAGGAAAGTTTGAAAACACACAGAATACCCAGGCAGGAAGCCACGAGATGGTAGCCACTAAAGTTAAGCGTAAGGCAGTGGAACCTGCTGCAACCGCTGGTCTATCACAGGCTGGAACATCAGAAGCCGTTGAGATAACCCTAAACCAAACCATAAAAATTATATTGGTGAGGTCAGAGGTCATTAATCGAGATGATTTCCATTCAGAGGAACTCAGCTCAAAGGAAGATATTCCGGTAGAGATTATGACAGAGCAAGGAAGTTCAGAGGTCACCAATCGACATGATTACGATTCAGAGGAACTCAGCTCAGAGGAAGAAATTCCGGAAGAGATTATGACAGAGCAGGGAAGTTTAGAGGTCACCAATCGAGACGATTACCATTCAGAGGAATTCCGCTCAGAGGAAGATATTCCAGAAGAGATAATGATAGAGCATGAAAGTTCAGAGGTCATCAATCAAGATGATTACCATTCAGAGGAATTCCGCTCAGAGGAAGATATTCCGGAAGAGATTATAACAGAGCAAGGAAGTTCAGAGGTCACCAATCAAGACGATTACCATTCAGAGGAATTCCACTCAGAGGAAGAAATTCCGGAAGAGATAATGATAGAGCATGAAAGTTCAGAGGTCATCAATCGAGATGATTACCATTCAGAGGAATTCCGCCCAGAGGAAGATATTCCAGAAGAGATAATGATAGAGCATGAAAGTTCAGAGGTCATCAATCAAGATGATTACCATTCAGAGGAATTCCGCTCAGAGGAAGATATTCCGGAAGAGATAATGATAGAGCATGAAAGTTCAGAGGTCACCAATCGAGATGATTACGATTTAGAGGTACTCAGCTCAGAGGAAGAAATTCCGGAAGAGATTATAACAGAGCAAGGAAGTTCAGAGGTCACCAATCAAGACGATTACCATTCAGAGGAATTCCACTCAGAGGAAGAAATTCCGGAAGAGATAATGATAGAGCATGAAAGTTCAGAGGTCATCAATCGAGATGATTACCATTTAGAGGAATTCCGCTCAGAGGAAGATATTCCGGAAGAGATAATGATAGAGCACGAAAGTTTAGCGGTCACAAATCGAGATGATTACCATTCAGAGGAACTCGGCTCAGAGGAAGATATTCGAGTAGAGATCATTGCAGAGGACAACTATTCAGAGCATTCTAATAGAGAAGACGATATCCCATATGAGGGGGATTTTGAGGATGACATTTATGACGTAATCATCGGAGCGGAAGTCACTGCTGAGAGAGAAACACCAGACTATGCGTCTGAAAGAGACGACATTCCAGAAGAGATCGTTACAGAGGGAGATGCCTCAGAAAACATGGTTGACAATAAAAATGATATCATAGCTGATGAGGTCAGGGAAGAAAGTATCTTCCCAGCTGTTTATTTATTAGAAATTGACTTAGTCACAGAGAACAAAGATGACGAAAATTATGAAGACAATTGTACAGAGGCTGTGGAAATTATTGAAGAAGCCATCTATGAAAATGAAGGTTGTTTGGACGATTTCGCCATTGAATGCCAGCGGATTTCAATGATTAACATTCCAGATGTTTTTCAATGACGAACATTCCAGATGTTTCTTGGAAGATGTTCCTGGAAGATGTTTCATAGAAGGCGCAGAGGAGTTCACAAAGAAATCCATTGCACAAAGTGACATCTGAGCAGGCATTGTAGACGACGACATTCCAGAAGTAGATGCATGGAGTAACATGGCCGACGAACATTTAGGAGAAAATGATCGGGGACTCTAAGACTCAACAGGTTATTACAGGCAGTTGCGATGTTAATGATTGGAGCTTATTTCAAAAAATTGTTTTTAATTTCTAAAGGGTATTTATAATTATCACATATTTGGTAGCAAGAGATTCATAAAACCTTTTTAAGTTAAAAAAAAGAATGGTATTAAAACATTACGTTTTCCCTAGCGTGAAAACAAATGTACTATCGAAGTATGTGGCTTTTGAAACTTTTAATGGCGGCAATTTACATTATCAACTCAGTTGATAAAACCAAATAATCTTGTTATACCCTCCCCCCAACACAAACGAAGCACCTCAGCTTCTTTGCAAACTTGACTTGCTCCCTATTTCCGCACAGACACATGGCAACTTGAGATCTATAATGGACGGATATTTCAGTGCCATTTCCTTCAGCAAAGGTTTGTTCCTTTCCTACTTAAGGAGGACTTTTCTTTTTCCTTGAGATTTACATTTGTTAAAAAATTACAAACTATGAAATATACCTTGACATGCACTGTTTAAGACGTGTGGATTACACAAAAATTCCTGCGATTTGACCAATCGTATAATTAGAAGTGAATTGCTCAGAAATCTATTCCCATAGCCATCTAAGAAGAGGGAGGGGTGGGTGGGGAAATAGTGAAACTCCTGTCTACGAGAATATCTGCTGACAGTTTAATACCATTTCCAAGCGGGTGGGCACCCTCTTCGATCACAGTTTCTTTATTTCACATGATCGTGGCCTTATTCTATTTTAATCGATTTAATTCGCTTTATTGTCAATGGCTTGTACAAGAATGTCTCTGGAATGGTTCTCGTGATTTTCCTTGATCGACAACCAAAAATAAACCATTAACGATACTACATCGCGCATGTAACGATGGAATCAAAAAGGAAAACGATTAAGTGCTTTTCTGAAGTGTTCCATTCTTTGAACAAAATGAGGTTAACAATTGCATGTCCAGAAGTCGAGTCTTGAAATTAAGGACGACAATTTGATGCCCTACCATCCCTTCCCTTATGTTATCTTTTTGGTGGGCTTTCCCACGATACGCTGCGAACCCATTCACTTCCGCCCTCTGCCGACGCTCAAGAATCACAGACCGTAGGTCGATGTAGTTCGAAGGAAAAATCTCTAAAGGTAAGACGCTTGATTTGATAATTTCTCTGCAAGAGAAATAATCTCCAACTCTTCATTTAAAGTTTTACTGAAGATCTGTTTAAGTTATAACTTCTGTGATTGAGAAATCTGTCGAACGAGCGCAAGTTAACTGAGTGAAGTATGTGAACCAGCTTCTAGCAAACCAGCTCAATCAGAATATTACTGGTATTTTGACCCTCCTTCAGTTCCTGTTCGGTTCCTGACGTCCATTTATTTTGCTTTATACAGAGTTTACTCAATCTTACCTTGTAATTATTTCCTCAACTCAGATTGCCATATAACTCCCTCATTATTTTTAGGTCTAGATAATATCTGAGTTTGTGTATTTTGCCAATTTTTTTGGCGACTCTGTTATTTACATGTTGTATATGGGTACCCCGGCTCAAATGCTTATAAATGAACACACCTGAGTACTTACTATGATCACGTCCAATATATTGAATATTTATGTTAACTCGTATTTTAGGGGATTTTACAACCATGAAATTAGTTTTTCTTAAGTTTAGAGACAATTTATTAGTATTACAATGACTAAAAACCAATTTAAGGGACTTGTCAGAAATTAGCAGGGGGGGAGGGGGGGGTGGGAATTTTAAAATTAGAAAAATTAGGTGACCCATCCCTGCAATGGGAGTGAAATTTGCTAACCCTCCCCTTGAGCTTGGCCTAAAATATCATGACCCTCCCCCTCTTGTATAAATGATAAAATCTAGTTCTTGCAATACACTAGGGTGCGTCAGTATTATGAAAACTCAAAATATATTTCTAATCTGTTCTTTGTCATGCTACATACATACATTTTCAATGACAGCATTAAGAGTCCGACTGATCACTCGACTCTCCTATTTCTCCCAATACAAAGTCTTCATCACTAGAACAAGTGGGTAATGCCTCATCCCCTTCATCTAACTCACATTCATCATGATCATCCACCTCTTCCTTTTTATTCTGTGGGTGAACCTCTACATGATCACGGGCATATATTTGCATGACCCTCCCCCTTTTAACTGCCCATTTTTTCATGACCCCTCCCTTTTCTGAGGCTCAAAAAGTTGTGACCCCCCTCTGTTTCCACCCCCCTCCCCCCCTGCTAATTTCTGACAAGTCCCTAACTGCAGAATTCATAACCAATTCTAATTCTCTTGGATTTTCACCACTAAAAAAGATATTCTTATCATCAGCAAAATTCTAAATGATGGTTCCTCACGGCAGTTGGGAAGATCATTCATATTTAGTAGGAAAAGGAGAAGGTCTAATGTAGACCCCTGAGGTACCTCACAGAGGAGAGGCAATTTACTAGATTCTACAAGACCTAATTTAACATACTGTTATGGTGTTTTAAAAAGCTTTCAAACCAGCAAAGAGGGAGATCTTTGATTCCATGAACATATAGTTTTGAGAGTAATATTTCATGATTTACTGTAAAAAATGCCTTTGATGGATCAAGGAAGACTCCACAAGATATTTTCTTTTTTATCTATCACTTCTTTTAATTTGTCAGAGACCTCTTGTGTGACTTGTCAAGTTTCGAATCAAATTTATATTTATGTAGAATTTCTTTTATTTCTAAGAATGAATAGAGTTGGTCATGTACCAACCTTTCAAGAACTTTACTAAACTGTGATAAAACTGCAATGGGTTGGTAATTTCTGGGTTCAGTCATTATACCATTTTTATAAACAGGAGTAACTTGAGATATTTTGAAATATATCTGGCACTACACCAGTCTTGATAGACTCAATATATATATATAGTGATTCATGAAACAGGCTTGTTAGGAAATGTAGTTGCGTCCTTTTTTCCTCTCATAATATATATATACCGTAATTTCCGGTCGATTACCCGCGGGTAATCTGTTGATTTTGCATTAAATCCGCGCCACTGCGGGTAATAGGGAGGTGCGGGTTATGTGACAATTTTAAATTCTTCTGGAAGTTGAATTGAAAAAATTTCTCACCTACCTGCGTTTCCACCTCTCAAATGAATTTTATTGTATCAAAAGTGCCACAAAGCGGCACGAAAACATGATGCCAACTCGAGTTTATTTCACGCATAATTAGTTGCGTGACAAACAAATTTTTATCGGCACGCGTGAAAACAAAACCTTGATGGTGACAAAAATAATCCAAGGATATCCGGCGCATCAGTAACAAATTTCCAGTTTTCACTAGCTTGAGCTAAAGAGAATTTTCCCGTTTTAAGGGACTTGTTAGGCCCAGTAGAACAGGAGATATCGATTTTTTTGAGAAATTGCCGACAGTAATTTTAAATCCCAAATGCATCACCAGAATGTTGAAAATAATAGGTGCGAAACTTAACTAATTTCGCGCTGAAAAAGTATTTTAACGACAAATGAACAATGGATATTGCTCATTACGCTCCTACATGCTATAAAAAGGTAACTGACTGAATAAGAATTATAAACCTCGATCATTCGCGATAAGTGTATCCACGAGTCACCAATTAAGTTAAAATGCCTGCTGTGAAACGCCCACGTCACAGTTTTACGTTTGATTATAAGCTTAGAGTAATAACTCTTGCCGATGAAATCGGTAATAGAGCAGCGGCAATAATCAATCAATAAAGTATAAGCTAATATTGACACAGAATTGTGCACATGTCTGAATCGAAAGACTGAAATGTATCGCCTTAATGTCACGTTTTCGCCACCGAAAAAGTTGAATAACAACGTGCGGGTTATCCACCGGTGCGGGTAATCCGTTGACTTTTTTTTTCGCCGTATGCAATAATCGGCCGGTGCGGGTAATCGGCCGTGCGGGTAATCGACCGGAAATTACGGTATATATATATACATACATAAAAGGTTTTTTGAGATTGTCAGAAGCGATCCTTATCAATTTATTTGGAATATGTATTGAAGTTTTGCTATCATTTAATTTAGAGAAGAGATTACAAACCTGTGCTTCAGTTACCTCAGATAATACAAAACTTGAGGAAGGAGAAGATTTTATGTATTTAAGGGGTTTATCGTCATTATTCCTTATAGAACTGGCAAGTATAGGGCCTACATTAACCCTCCATGTCCCATGAGTGACCAAGACAGAATTTCTTCTTACAATATCAAACAGACAAGTGATAAGAATAAAGAAACATTTAAGTAAGGAATTCTTAGTTGATCCAATTCCAAACTCTCCAAACTAATATCACAACAACTTTAAGACAGATGGTATGGAGAACTTCTAATGAGATCTTGGGAGTTAAAGGGTTAACAAAATATTGGTTAAGTTGATTAACAACATCAGAATTTGTTGTATAGATTTGATTGTTGACAATGATTTTTGTTGGGTCAGATTGCCCTTTAGTTTTATGATGAATAAGAGTTCCAATTAATTTCCTTGTTGACTTCATGTTATTTTTTACACAAATTGAAGTGTTTGTGATAGTATAGAGTATTTCTTTGTGACTTAAGCCTGTTAAGCTTATTTGTCAACTTTGGATATATCATTTGAAGGAAAATGGGTTTGATACTTTCTTTGTTTAGTTTTTATTGATTTTAGGATGCCATTTGTTATCCATGGTTTTGTTAACTGTTTTTTTTAGTCTTAGAAATATATTTTTTGGAGCATGCTTGTCTGCAGTTACTGTTATAGCTTCAATAGTTTTGGTGGCAAGCTCATGCAAGTTAGTACATTTGCTTTGAATAGTATTCCAGTCTATAGCTCTGATATCAATTTTATTTAATTCTTCATTAAATGCACTATAGTCTCTAAAAGTCATGGGAGGTGCTTGGTGCTTTACTGCTGTCCCAAATATGCAAAACACTGGTAAATGATCAAAAATGTTTACAGTAGCCATTCCAGAGACCTTGTGTTGGTTAAAGAATTTGTTTAGATATGGTCTATCAAGGTTGCAGCAGAATTGTTATTCTGGTGGGTTTTATTATTTCAGGTAACATGTTGTTGGTATAGAACATTTCCAAGTAATCTTCAGTTAAAGAGATGCTATTACATTTGAGGAAATCAATGTTCACATCCCCCAGAACAGAAACTTCATTTTTTTCTGATTAAGATTTTTCAATATTGCATCTAGTTTGAAAGTAAAATCTTCTATGTTAGCTGATGGGTGTCTACTGATATATACAGTCTACTGTTATATGAGCTTTATTGTTACATGGATCAGTTTTAATCCAGCATGATTCTACTAATGGCATATTCAGATGTATATCAGGTCTGAATATAGTTTTTAAATTCTTTGAAATATATAAACCTGCACCACCAGCTCCTGTTGGTGAATCATTATGGAAGAAGTTATAATTTATGAGATCAATATTTGAAACTGAGTAACTATTATATAACTAGGTCTTACCTCTGAAATTGCTATTACATCTGGCCTGTCATTCAGACAGTACAGCATATCATTTAACAACTTTAAGTTCTTGGAAAGGCTTCTAATATGGTTGAAGTCGATCAATTAATTTATTAATTATCATTACCCCGCTCCAGCGAATAGATGATATTATTTGTTTTTGATAAGTGATGCATCATACATTGTTACCTCGGGAGAGAATGATGATATGAAATTTGTGTATCTACTCCTGTAAATCATAGGGAGTAAATGAAGTGGGTGGCTATCAACCACGTCGTGACTGCTTAGTGTTTTTTTTCTTGTGTCACGCAAAGTACTACACATTCTAGCCCGCCTAGTTTCCCTTCTTTAAGCAAATGCAAGGCTGTGCTCTAGCGGCGCCCGGTCGCCTCAGGCGACTAACATTTGGTCTCGGGCGACTGAAAAAGAAAAGCGTTCGCCCTTCCGGGCGCATGGATTTCGGCTTGTGTGAAAACCCGAAACGAAACCAGCAAACGTATAGAAACGATACGGAACGGAACGAAACAAAAAGAAACTCCATCGTGCTCCCCGGCTCCCGTTAGCCCGAAAAGCAAAAGCGCTGAAAGCGCAGTGCAATCAATAGCCTGTGTGATCTGTACATTTAGGTTAAATATTAAGTGAGGTCATGGGTCTTGTTTCGCTTCGGTGGATTCTCTTCCGGTTTATTAATATAGTACATGGCCCAGGTTTCTTGTCCATTGAACGACGCGATAAAGCGAGCAACTGATTGTAACTAACATTTTATAATTTTACTTGCTAATTTGATGACATTTGCAGAACTAAAAAATATTCGGCAGGACAACAACAAGAATTGTTCACGCTCAAAGTTGTCGCGTGTGTTATGTAATATTGTTTCACATGGTTTAGCACGAAAAATTATTTTTTCCTTGCCCGTGAGAAACTGCAAGATTTTTGCACAAGCATGTTTTGAAGATCTAATTTTCTATTGAAGTGGTTGATGCTTATATTTAATTTTTGTGTTTCAACAGTTTCAATAGTGGAGCACGTGATTAATAAAACCAAACCGTCCTTTATGCAAATTTGTGTTTATTTAATTAGCTTCGAAGAAATTTTCTTAGCGGTTTTAAGATGTATGTGGTTAATTTATAACAGGATTTCATGATATCACAAGTTCGCCAAAATAGAGTACGTGACTGCTAAATATAGTAACTCGCTTCGCCGCCCGTGCCCGGTGAAGTGAATATTGAACGAGAGAGATTAAAGATGAAACTGTTTGGCAATTCTGCGGATTCTCTGGAACTGTAAGAAGTATACAACGCTACTCTTTCAAAACGTCACAGATTAGTAAAGATTGTCATTCAGCAATGGTTTCCTCGGCCAGAATAATTAATCAATTAATTATTAATTAATTAATTAATCAATTCGGGCGACCAACCTGGAAGGCTGGGCGACCTACTTGCCATGGTTAGGCGCCCGAAGGGCGCCCTGAAAATTTCCCTAGAGCACAGCCTTGAAATGTATTTCAAGTCTTTTGTAGCTGAATCATGTTTTAACCTCCTTAAGCAGAGTCTTCTGATTACCAGGTGAAACTGATGATCTAGCTCTATTAGTGCTGAACTTCCCAAACTTTTATGTATGTGTGTTTTTTAAAAAAATTGATACAAGTAAATGGAAATCAGGCTTCTCAGTCATTTGCGTATTTAAGTCTTCCTAGGTGCTGTCAAACTAAAAAGCTTGAGAAGTAAAAGGATTATAAACTTTTTGTGTGAAAAATCCGTAAATGTGATTTACATGAGGATGCAGGTCTTGACATTTTCCAACTACTCGTTCGACCCGCTATATAGGTCGCTTTTGCCAAAGGGGCTAAGATCAGAGTATTTCAGGTATTTTTGTACAATTTCTACTCTTATAAAGGCTTAAGAAAAACGCATCTAAGTTATTGAACACCAATTCCTTGCCAGAAAAATCATGCCCACATAACGTGGAATGACAATTTCTAAATATTATTGAAAGCGATCTGTTTTGATCCTCTCCTCTTAAATCATCCATCTATCCTATTTATATAGGACAGATGGATTGTATATCAGCTATATCTGTCTTTTGTAAGATTAACTGTTCACTCCGTTGATCTATTTCACAGTTTGGGTTGCAGTCATGAGGTAAGGAAGGTCCAGTAACAGATCCTGCCTCAGGTTTTCCTTCTTTAAAAATGGCTGCCGCTTTGGACCCAGATGAGGTGCTTCGTTCTTCGAAAGGGAGAGATAATTATCAGCGTCTGGCTCGGCTTTTGATAAGTGGAGGTACTGTGCTATTGAGGGAGGCTTTTGATATCAAATGTCCACCAAGTAATCTTTCCAAAACACTTCAAAATCCAGCCACGAAGAAGCTACTTAAGGCAGCAAAGCTCACAAAGCCTCAGAGGGACTGCCTGTACCCTTCCCCAGGAATGTACGGAAAGTCAACAGACTTTGATATAACTCTCCTTTTCCGGTTGCTGAGGACAATATGCGGCCTTGCCCCTCCTGTCACGGGCTGGGATGCGCTACCGGCAAGTACAGATGACAGTTTAGAAGCAGATTTAGCTAGAATCAAATATTACCGCAATTCGATATATGGTCATGTGACCGAGAACATGGAAATCTCAGATGACGAGTTTCTAGTTCTTTGGAGAGAAATCAGCGGGGCTCTGGTGGGAGTTGCGGGTCAAATCAGCCCTGCAAAGGCAAAAGAATGGCAGAATGCTATTGATACATTTTTAAAAGATCCCCTCACAGAGGAAGACAAGAGACACGAGCAGGAATTGCAGCGCTGGTACCAGAATGACACAGAAGTAAAGGAATGCCTGGAAAAGGTAAAATCTTTAATGAAGAATTTGGAGAAAGAAGCTCAATACTTAAGACAAAAGGTTCGAGAAGAAGCCCAAGATATTAAAGATGAAGGGCAACGCTTAGGACAAGATATCAAAGATGAGCTCGGTGGGAAAGTAGAATCTACAGCCCAAGAAGTACAACGCTTAGGACAAGACATCAAAGATGAGCTCGGAGGGAAAGTAGAATCTACAGCCCAAGAAGTGCAGCGCTTGAGGCAAGAGTTTCGAGATGAGGCCCAAGACATCAAAGATCGATTGAAACTGGGTGGTCGACCCAATTCCTCAGCTGGAGGTCAGCTTGTTGATATTTGCTGTATATCTATTACTAGTAAAGTATTTTTCCTTTTACATAAGCACTTACGTAACGCACAAGGGTCACCTGTACGGTGCACATTGTACACTTTTTATGACAGAAATGGCTTCATATATTTTTGAAGCGGAGAAATGTCAATTATTTCTCGTTACTTGACTATAGCCGGACGACCACTCATATTAATTGCCTGTTTTGTCTCTGTTGTAAATGTAAGTCGCTGCAATTAATGAAAATTTTTCCCCTTACAGTTAAAATTCGAATGCGGATTGATTGTGAGACCATCCCAGACCCTCATGCGCGACTTGAGACATCAGAGACAGTGGTCATAGCCAGTCAGGGTACCCAAGCCTGTGGCGACGAGCTGGTAGTTACTGGAACGTCAGAAGGAACGTCTGAAGACACACAGGATACCCAGGCCGGATGCCACGAGATGGTAGTTACTGGAGTTAAACGTAAGGCAGTGGAACCTGTTGCATCTGCTGGTCTACCACTCGCGGGAAGAACAGAAAGCGCCGAGGAAGGAGGTTCTCAAGGAGTTATGAATTTCATCGCGCGCAAGTACTTTCAGACAGTTGACACAACCAAACCTGAGGAATTAAATGGTTTTCTACGGTTTTTAACAGATGTGCGCAAAGTTCTAGTCCTAGACGCTCAATCAGGAAGTTTGTTATTGACAGCACTATGTAGCTCATTGGAAATACTGGATGCCCTGTGGTATGACTATTGTACAGGTCACCTGAATGACATGGCACAGAAATATCTTGTGACAAAGGACGTTCTGAAGGAGTTTGGCTTGACTGAGCTGAAACTGACAACAACTATTCAGGGGGAGGAGTACATGGCTGCACGAAAGTTGTTTCTGCAGGGTTCCGGTGAGTACACAGAAAATGTTTCGGAGAGCTGTCTTTAACCGAATAAATAGGGCATCGTCGTCGTAAATGGTTTAAAACACGTTAGCATAGGTTTTCATGTTTTGTTTTTTTTATGCTTTCTCATACATGTTTACAAATTTGTTGTTTCATCACATTCAGACAGGTATCATTCAAGAAATTTAATTATCAGATCTAATACTTGTGCTCTCTTTATTTAATCGAGAGATGGGGATCGAGGACAGAGGGAGGCGACGCTAAGACGTCCTCACGACCTTTTGACATTTTTAGGAAACTGATCCAACTCCTTTATATTGGGTTAGCCCAAAGTAGTAAATATCTTGTCAAGTCAATAGTTTAACAAAATGAACAAATTTCTTTGAATAGCCTGCTAAGAAATGCATGGTCGTCAATTTGCAAAATTGTTCTCTATAAATCACTGTAAAAAAAGGAAATTTATGTGACCCGAGCACTCAATCTGGCTATCCTTCTCTCATACTGATAGACAGATTCGTACTGGGAGTGGCTAAAATGATCGAAAAATACTTTACAAAGATAGCTTGAATATATTTGCGATGGATAAAGCTTACAATAATCAATCACTCAAACAATTTATAAGGGCGTCTGATGATGCTACCTGCTATATCATCTCTAATCTTGAACGAAGCTGATGTAAATTCTTTTCATATTTGCTTTCATATCAAGGTCCACTTGGAATAACAAGTAACAGAAGTATCGAAATCGTCCAAAAGTCGACATCCTGTGAAAACCTCCACGCTATCGCACCAGGAACAATGGAAAAAGGTTCTGTTGGCTCACCGGAGAGCAGACTTGAAAAACTTGAAGGAGTTCCGGACGATATCCGTGTTTTCAAGGGGGAACTGGAGGGAGATCTTCCCCCTAAAACGTTGTCAAGGCCACCACGACGGCTAAATCTTCGAGGTGGCGGGCAAATCTTTGTAAAAACATTGACTGGAAAGACGACCACTTTGGAAGTGGAACCGTCAGACACCATTGAGGTTGTGAAAACAAAAATTCAAGACAAAGAAGGAATTCCACCGGATCAGCAACGTCTTATCTTTGCCGGGAAGCAATTGGAAGATGGCCGTTGTCTGAGTGACTACAATATTCAGAAAGAATCAATACTTCACTTGGTTTTAGGACTGCGTGGTGGCATACAAATCTGTATAAAAACATTGACTGGAAGGACAATTGTTTTGGAAGTGGAACCGTCAGACACCATTGAGAAAGTGAAAAAAAAAGTTCAACACAAAGAAGGAATCCCTCCAGATCAGCAACGTCTTATCTTTGGCACGCAGCAATTGGAAGATGGACGTTGTCTGAGTGACTACAATGTTCTCAGCAAGGCGACTCTTCACTTGGCTTTAAGACTGCGTGGTGGTGGCATTGAAATCTTTATAAAAACATTGACTGGAAAGACGATCACTTTGGTAGTGGACCCTTCAGAGACGATTAAGAACGTGAAACTGAAAATTCAGGACAAAGAGGGTATCCCACCAAGCCAGCAACATCTGATCTTTAGGCGGCAAGAACTCGAAGACCACCAAACGTTAAAAGAGTACAAAGTCACAAACAAATCTTCGGTACATTTGCGACTCGAGGACGAACTTGATAGAATACTTATCAATGTGGAGTTTCCAACTGGAAGGAAGATTTTTATAAATGCTTCACCAAAGGATGATTTTGAGAGCGTGAGAAAGATGATCTATGATAGAGAAGGGATTCCAGTTGATCAACAACGCCTCAGTTTTGCTGGCAAAGAAGTTGTAGACGACCACCTTCCTCTGAGTGAGTACCACAATGAGATTGAATTATCTTTGCAACTGGATGTGAAACAACAAAAAAATGAATTCCTTCTCCATGTGAAGACACCATCTGGAAAAACAAAGATCAAAGTTGAAGCTGTATCGGGAGATACCATCCAGGATGTGAAAAGGAAAATAATGGAAGAGATTGGAATACCGCCACATCAGCAACTACTTATGTTTAACAGTCAGGCAATTGAAGATGAGCGCCGCACGCTGGAAAGCTACGACATCAACAGCGACTCCATCATTGAACTGGTTATCAGAAGAACACATAGCAACGAAAGGCATATTTACGTGAAAATGCCTAATGGTATAAGAATCGTAGTAGATGTATCACTGGAAGATACCATCGCGGATGTGAAAGAGAAAATAAAAGAATTGATAGGAACGCCGGTCAACAAGCAGCTAATCACTTTTGGTGACACAAAGCTCGAAGGTGACAACAAACTGAGTGATTTCGGTGTGGAATATGGATCCACAGTTTCAATGATCACCAGTTCTACTACTCTGAAGAAGTGCATCGTAAGTTAATTAAACTAGGCCTAGCATAAATCTCAAAATGGAGTGCTTAGTTGTAGAAGACAAAGCGATTTGACAGCTCCATAAAAGAAGCAGACAGACTTTTCTTCAGTTTGGGAACGAGTTAAAATGCGATGTTTGAGAGAATCCTTTCAGCTCTTTTCATAGATCTGACAATGCAGATACCGCTGATCATTGAAATTATTGAACCTGGAGTTAGTTCCAAGATGGCCAGTCACCAAAGGATGACAGATCTTGCGCTAGGCTTTGGCGCGCAAAACGGATTTTAAGTCGTTTGCGCGTTCGATTTTCTATTTTGTTGCTTGTAGGCGTTGTTTCCTTGCCGCTTTTCTCTTAAAGAACAACCGCCAAAAATTAAGTTTGTACACCCCCCTAAATATTATTAAAAAACAGAGCCATTTTTCCTTAAGAATTTCATTTATTGAAAGGCATCAGAATCTTGAAGCATGTAAAACATGTAGGAATGTAAATGACGATAGGCTTTTTATACGAAGATATTTATACCGATAACTTTTTCCAGCATTCATTTCTGAGCTTCAAGATATCACGAGGTAACTATGTAACAGTCGTTTTGCTCAACCATATGCCTTACGTGAAACTCTTAGACCCTATCGCAACCTCTCTACAGGACGTCACGCCATTCTTCCTCGCGTGACATGCGAGGGAGGCTGTGATAGTCTCAGATCAGGTAAAATCTGAGGTGAACTTTCCTTGTTCAGAATTTTGATCATCCCACATAGCAAACAGTAAGCTGTTCGTAAACATTTTCCCTGCAGGTTGCAAATCTATTTGAAGAATAATAGACACGATACTCGGTATATTTGTCTTGGAACGTAAGCTGTTCCTCAAAGCTCACAGCTTTCCTCACGCTGTTCGTATCTCGTAACAGATAGTGTCCGCGGACAAGTATTTTCGTGCCAAACGGAGGCTATTGTTTTTATATTTGCAATATTCACTCTAGAATCTTAAGATACCGAGAAGTAACTACATAGAAGTTTTTCATTTAAACCATATGCCTTGCGTGACTGTCTCAGACCCTTTCGCAACATTTTTAAGGATGTCGCGTGACATTCGAAGGTTAAGTCACACATAATATGGTTCTTCTATATTTTTAACTACAAACCAAACGCAATTTATAGAAAGATTTTTTACGAATTTGATGCTAAACGAGGTTAAGATGAAAGTTTTTCATGAAAAACCTTTTTATTAGGATTTTAAACAGGATTTGTTTCCAAATAACCACCGTTTTCCTAACTGAAAATTTGGCTCCTTATTTCGGGTAACGTAGCAAATTCGCGCTAACGAATTTAAAAGGGAAAACTTCAAATCTCACCTTCCCCTGCCTATTGTAAAATTTACACGTTACGTACTATATTGGGCTTACTCACGCGTTACGTGTAAACCCTTTGTAACCCTCTTTTAGGGGTACACGTTACACATGTGAGAAGTCTCCAACAGTTTTCAGCCTTGAGTAATATAATATCCCACGGGTATCATCCTTTGATAAGTTGTGTAAAAATGCTTTTGTCCAGTCATTGTAAATATGACTCATTTACAGGAAAGATATGAGTTACATACATACATACATATACTTTATTGATGCTCCCTAAGTGGGCTTTTCAGCTCAATAGAAAAAAAAAAAAAAATACAAATATATAAATTAATTGAGAATGTAAATACAATAATATTATAATTACAAAATATATATCAATAATATAATATATCAACTTAATAAAACGTTTGCAAGATGACGTCTAAAATTCCTGGGGCATTTTAAAGACTTAATGTTATCGTTCAAGGAGTTCCAGAGTTTGGCTCCTCTGAAAGCAAAGGACTGCTGCCCTGTTGACAGGCGACATAAAGGTATATCCAAAGCACCAGATGATCGAGTTTGTCTATTATGGACTTGAGAACGTGATTTAAACATATCAGCAAGATAGTCTGGAACAAGCTTGTTAATACATTTGTGCATCATAGTAGCGTCATTTAGAATGAGTTTCTCTCTAATAGGAAGCCATTTCAACGATCGCAACCCATCCGAAATATGGTCATACTTTCTTAGTCCCAGAATAATTCGCCCGGCAAAGTTTTGGACTTTTTGTAACTTGTCAATATTGCTGCTGCTGGTATTACTCCAGACAGTTGAACAATATTGGAGTTTACTAAAGACAAAAGAATTTATTACTAACAGAAGTGTTTTCCTATCCAGGAGGTGTTTGATTCTGTTAATTTGGTACAATTTAAAAAGGCATTTAGAGGCAATCTCAGTGATATGTTGGTTATAACTGAGGTGTGTGTCGAGAAGAACACCCAAGTCCTTAACGACAGGCACAGGTGTTATTTCCTTGTCAAAAAGTGTTATACTGAATGATGACAGTTTCTTTAAAAGTTGTGGTAATCCAACAGCTAGAACCTTAGTTTTGTCCGGATTAATCAAAAGAGAGTTTTTACAGCACCATTGAGATATTCTCGTAAGATCTTCGTTTAAGGCGAGGATGGACGTGGGTAATTCGGCAGGTGAAAAGGACAAGTACAATTTACAGTCATCAACATAGGAGGCAGATAGACAACGTTTAGGAACAGAAAGGAGGTCGTTAACATAGATTGTAAACAAAACCGGACCTAAAATAGAGCCTTGCGGAACTCCGAACTCAAGTGGGAGTACTTTAGAAACTGCGTCACCTATTCGAACGCACTGTTGTCGGTTAGAAAGGTAACTCTGAAACCAATTCAACGCACCCTGGGAAAAATCGAGATTTTGTAGCTTGGATAACAAGATGTCGTGTCGAATACTATCAAATGCTTTAGACATGTCTAATAAGACCATGATGGAAACTTTCTTGTTATCCATAGCCTGGAGCAACTGATCTGTAACGTACAACAGAGCTGTTTCTGTCGAGTGAAGCTTTCTATTTCCGCTCTGATGTGCTGCCAGTTTATTATTTCTAATTAGATGCTCCATAAGTTGTCCATGTACCAACCTTTCAGTGACTTTTGAGACTATTGGTAATAATGAGATGGGGCGATAGTTGTTAGGGACATCTGGATTACCGCATTTGAGAATAGGTGTAACCTCTGCTGTTTTCCATGCACGTGCAAATGTGTTGGTAACAAAGGAGTTATTCACAATGTGGGTAATTGTTGTTAGCGTACTGGGTAAACTGTCTTTAAGAATTCTGGAGGATATCTTGTCCATTCCAGGAGCTTTGTTAGATGGTAGGCTTCTAATCACCCTTTCTACCTGATTTTCCGTGACTTGATGGAGAACGAATAATTCGGGGCTAACGTCGGTGGATATGTGTAAAGGAGTCGGCACGTCCAAATTTACACAGTTGCACATGACTCTTCAATTCGTTTTACATAGTCAGTATCGTAAAAGCTGCGAAATGACACAACAGGTGTTAAATGTACAGTTTTCTATTTAAGGCATTGAAGTTCTTTAACAAATTCTTAAGCTTTTTTGGATGAGAAATACGAGATTTGAAATAGGCCTTACGTTTACGTTTACAAGTGTTGGAAACTTGGTCCCAGGCACCTCTCTCTCCCTCCTCGGAAATATATGAAGGTAAAGGAGCTCGGGAACAAGGTTCTTATTTTCGTTGCGAGGCCTTTTGAAGGAACTTTTGCTGATTAAAAGCGAATGCAATTTAATACAAAATAACCTCAACCCTCCAAATAAAAATCATCCCCAGCTAGTTACATGCTTAAATTTTGTGGTGCTGATAGCTGTTGATAACATCGAGTTCCGCTTATAGGTAAGTTTATTCCCTCTAAATAAAAAGCCCACCGGATAAAAAGTTTTTGCGATGTTATGTTGAAAATTACGCAGCCTTCTTGATCAAGACAGCAATATTTGACTTAAAACTGACTTGAAACATTAGAATGAAGATTAAACTTGGTGTAGAAAATCGATGAAACTTTTTTGTTCCAAGTAATTTTTTCTTAGATCCAGAACGTGGTTAATTTCAGTAATAACGAAAACTATATTCAGCTTAACCGTTCAATCGAGTTCTTGTTTTATCTCCTTTCATATCAAAAACGGATACTCTCTTAGAGCCCACACAATAATCCCCGGGAAGCTTTTAATCAAGGAAATCCTATTTTCTCTGAAACTGGGAAAATCTTTCGTTTTCTATTTCTTTTCTTTTGAACCGACTGGAGACGCGCTTGGGACGATCTACAATATTGCTTACATGTAAATTTGCTGGGTTCGTCTAAACACGTTCGTGTTTATTTAGTCTACAGGGAAAAAAAGAAAGCTTTTCTTATTAATATTTAGAAATTTCACGCAGTTTTTTTTCTAGAGTCACGTATTATGTGGAATTTTTCGCCACGATAGCGTTATCAAGATTTTCCTCAATTCTTTGTTTCGAACGTTCCTGATAAGACAGCTTTTTTCACGAAAGCTTCTCTTCACCCGTAAATTCCTTGCTCTGTTTAACATTATGCTTAAGGCACAATTTTCAGACTTCGACGGCTCTTATTACGATCAAAATAACTCTTAAAGCCACTTTCTTCAACAGTAATGTGTTGGTTAACTTTTGTACGTGTGGGTGCATCCTATTTAAGCTCCGAGCGAATAAAATTTTAAAGGCCATCAAACGTAATGATGAGTTAAAATTTTGCGTGGTCGTGAGAAGAATAATCCTTTTATCAATTATAGCATAATAAGTCATAACGTCAAACAAATTCATATTATTTATTCTGAAGTCAAAGGAAGTCTTGAAGTCAACACCGAAAAAAAAAGGGTGTAAATGGCTTTTTCTGACGTTCTCTCTCGAAAACACCTTTATCCCCAATATTTACATCACATTTCAATTTCCCCCCGACCACCGCTCTTCGACCCACAACGATTTCAAGATCACACGTCGACCAATAAAAAACATTGGATTGCAATCGGAACGTCATTTTTTGCGTGTTTTTGACGTCACAAGACGAGCACGTATGTCATGAAAATAGAAACCCGAGATCTCGGCGTTTAAATACGAAATGCCAAAATCTGTGAAACGAGAGGAGTCATCGAAGTGAAGGTTAGACGCACCTTGTTCGAATTCGCGTTAGCTAAAAATGGGGAAGCGAAAACACAGTACCGATAGCGGAGATGAAAGCGACGATTCTTGTAAGCGGCTGAAAAAACAGGTACGATTTGGTGAAGTTACAATCTACCATTTCCCAAGAAAGCAAGGTTTTGTTTCCGTGCCTTCATCGGGAGGTACTACTTTGGGAATGGCGAGAAAACATGTATTGATTGAGAAAATCCAAGTCAATTTTGAAGTGGACGGTGTTACAATTGGCGATCGCAAACCCTTCGCACCGGTGGCGCAAAAAGCGAGGAAAACTATTCTTAAAACTGCCGGCGTTCGCCGGATTCTCAAGAAAGAAGAGCAAGATTGCGCTCAGCTGAGATTATCACGGATCATTTGTGGTTGTAGCTGTGGGGATATTTGTTACCCACAAACATGCGAGTGTATTTTAAGTGGAATAGCCTGCCAAGTTGATTATGGACGCTTTCCCTGCTCTTGTCAAGCAAATGGCTGCCAAAACAATCACGGACGAAAACAGTACAACCCCAGCGTTGTTGAAAAACATTATTTTGAAACATTCTCTCGACTAAGAGGGCAAACTACAAGCAAAACTGTTCTCCATTACGTGGGAGTAGCGTAAAAATCGGAAAACTGAAAAAATTATTATTTTGAATTGTATATTTCTCGATGCATATCGGATTCATTGATATGCTAACAAAAGAGCGACATTCTAAAGAACTTAAGTGGTTTGATAATACAACTTTGTTGATTAGGTTTAGACCTATTCCTTTGTTTCCGTCGTCTCGGTTCTATGGCATGTTGTGAAGATATTTATGAAATTTTTGATGCGAATTAGAATTATTGTCTGAATAAAACAATCTGTACTCGGTCAAATAAAGCCATTTCTGAGTCAAATGAAGTTATTTTTAGCCAGACCTTACCATACAGAGATTTCACCGGGAATTTCCGTTTCCTGTGGCGACGAACGTGAGCGTTATTTTTACACCGGAAGTGAGCGAACTGACCAGAAATGTCACGAAAAGTCACGCGTTACAGATCTTGTTTAAGTTTGTTTCACTGGAGAGGTAACAGGGTAACGAGCTCGTTTTATATTCATCAATAGATAGACCAATTGTGCGATTTCTGAAGGTCAGTTACGAAGAGATTTCGATTTTATTGGTTTCCAAGATTGGGAATATTTTGGAATTTTCCAAGAAGGCGGATATAATACCACCACGGTAAAACATTCCAATACGTGCTCGGACTCGCTTGAGTGTTTTCCTAAAAATGGAATTGTTATCGTAGCTCACGCGTAGCCGTACCCTCCCCGCAAGGAGTGACCGTTTCTAATTGGAGGGGGGGGAGGGGAAGGAAAGGCTTCACGTAGGCTACTGTCACCGATGGTGATGAATTTAGTCGATTTCAAGGAAAGAAGTCTCGTTACAAATCAATATTCAACAGAAAATATAAGAACCTTAAAATGGCTCGTTATTGCAGGAGAGTCGAAAAGAGAGTGGAGAAAACCGAAAAATAACTCGTTCCTCTTTATATAAATTTGGTGCTCTAAAAATTGCAACACAACGAAACTAGAAAACGAGGCTGTTTCGCAAGCGTTCGTGAGTGAACCTTCAAGCTTCATTTCTACTGTTTCCTCGTGTCTGATCCTCGATCCCCCATGGGAGGAACATTTTGTAAAGTAGAGGGGGGTAGGGAAGTGGAGTGGGAGGGGGGGGGGGAAAAGCGAGCTCATTCCCTGAATAGCAGCTAGAAATCGAGCCTTGAATAGGGGATTATCGGATTATGGAGGAAATGAAAGAAACTGGGGAATCCTATCAAGGATCGCGTTACTTCTAAATAAGGAACACCCCCTAAATTTACTGTAATATCCCTCTCCACGCAAAGTTACAATTTTTCTTTGGCATAAGCAAACATTAATTTGTAAGTCGCAGTAGCCACAAGTACCTTTCATGATTTAGTCCTAAAAAGTGGCTATTGGACGCACGTGAGACTAGCGTTGATGAAACATGAGTGAGTGCGCACCGCACAGGCTTCTGGGGGCTTTTCTTGGTCATGCAATTTTAAATGCCAAAGACATGTTTACATTGACACTAAGTGCTTGAGCTTGACGATAATCTTTGACAGGTTGGCTTTCACAGATTTAGACCTATCACCGGATTGTTTAACAAGATTAAGGGTGAAACATTATCCATTCCTTTAGCCGATCAAAACTACTGTCTGTGAAAAATTGGCTTTCGATTGTAGTTCCGGTGCGCGCATATCTTTTAATGGCAACCGGTATATGCTAACAGAGATGATAGTTGTTCAAACTTTAAGGCTTTCAGATGCGCCTGTGCTAATAACGTCATCGTATTCTCATAAATAAATATGGAGTGGGCGCCTAAGCGTAGGATTTCTTCTGTTAGGACATGTTGCATTGAAAAAAACCAAGACTTAATGATGGAAAAATGCGGAACTTTTAGGAAACGTCAGCGAAGTCAAGTCTTGCCACTAACGCTCTGACGAAAGTAAGAATGACGAGAAAATTCGAGAAAAAACATTTCAGACCGTAACTGGTAGTAAAATTCTAGTTAGGGAAACAAAGAACTTGCTAAATTTTGCCTCTTTATTGAGTTTAGCTCAAATTTATTTCACAATTTGTTTGTTCATGACAAGGAAGTGAAGCTGTCTGTCATTTTAGTATCCAATGTAAATAAAAGGCTCGAGGAAAGCAATTAAGCTATGATAATAATGTGAGTTTAAGCTAACAGAGTTACGTGAGAACCCAGAAGAACTAGGTTGATCTGTAAGAAAAAAAATAAACTTTTTTTTTAACTTCCTCGCCGTTTTATGAATCAATTAATCTAGCGATTGTATCATAATCGACTTTGCAATTCTTATCAACCGCGAATTTCAGTCAAAAGGTGAAAAGTATATCAAAATTATGCCCCCCCCAAGAAAAAAAAAAAATATATATATATATATGAGGAACTGTAGGTTCAAAAGAACACCAAAGAGGTCAGAAATAGAATCCAGAAGGAAACAGAATTGTTGACCCAGTTACTTCTGGAAATGTAAAGTGACGCGAAAGAAATTTTTCCTTTCCATAATAATACATTTTTAAGCAAAGAGGAAATGAGAAGTGAGAAAAACATCTTTTGTCTTTGTTTGATCTAAAGCTAAATTCTCAGAGCCGAATTTTTAAAGACTGTATTAGAGAGGTTTGGAAAGTTCACGTCTTGATCTGGAAGGGTTATAATAGTAAAGGTGTCCACCGATTACTCTGATTGATAAACTTGTAGGATAATATTTTTAAGTTGCCCAAAACCGTGATGTATCTCCTTTCATAACTCTCACGATCAAACCGAAGATTATCACAAAAATAAAATGAAATGAATATGTATGTAAATAAATAAATAGCATGTGATTAAGCGAATGGCCAAGTTCAACTATGAAATGAAATTCAGCATTATCTCAAACTTTACACTTTTCCAGTCTTCGTCTTTGTCGCCTCTATGTTTATTTCGATATGGGTTTTGTTTATTACAATTTTTTTTCGTAAATAGTCTGAGCAATATCGAGTCTTTTCCATAACTTTTCTAAAAATTTCTAGGCCATAGTGAATTAAATCGCTACGTATATTGCACGGGATCATCAAACATCAAAATACTCATATCCTATCATATTTTCCATCCAAGCTGATTAAATAATGATAATGTTCCAGTGGTTAAATTTCTATTTCATGTTGTGTCTTGCAGCTGTTCTGATTAATTTTTCGTGAAAGTTCCATGAAAGTGGTGAATCCATTCTAAATGCAAATCATATTGGTCGAACCTTCCATCGAAACGTACTGTTTACAAACACAGAAAACTCGTTTGAAAACTTCATTGTTTCGCCTTAATTTCCTGGGCTTACAGCGGCTACAAGGGGCAGATACAACAATTTGAGTGAACTTAAGAACGTTTATGATTGTACGCTATACTTTGCCTTTGTCAATTAACATTTGCGAGGAAAAATGGTTAGCGTTCGCATGCTAATGCAACACGGCGCATAATGTTGATTACTCGCCTTACAAACCTCCTCCTTAAAAATACGGCCTGTTTATTTGGGAGTCATCGATTATATCTGACGAGTTTAGGAAAGGAAGACAGTCTTTCCCGAAGGAATTTTAAATTGAAGTTAATTTGCATCGCTAAACAAGCCCGCTTGAAATCCACTTCCTTCTATATTTACTGTTGTCACGTGATGCATTTGTCACGGGCGAATACTTTTGTCGTTTTCCACAAAAATACTTCGCTTCCTGCGAAGTTTGGCTTCTACGTGGCGACGTGTGAAAAGCGGTTTTAGTTAAGTCTTACTCCGTGGGGTTATCCCAGCCGTCTGACAAACGGAACTTCGATATTTTGTCAGTTTGGAAAGTCGGCGATTGGTACAGGATTACTCGGTGAGTCCATTTTGGAGCCAACCGCGTCGGCCATTTTCCTTGTGGTATGGAACTTGCTGGGACAAATATTGTACACGTTGCATTGTGCATTGGCACCATTTGGGAAACCTAATAAGCTAGCGAATACTAAGTTTAAGAGCCTGATTTTCTGTGTTTCTTTATAAACTTATCACGTTCCCAAATTGTTTTGGATAAGATGTTTTAATACTTGTACAAGCTCCATACAAAACAAATTCGACGCACAGAGTTTCTGAAGGAACAACATAGCTACCGGAAACGACGTTATTTTTTTCGATGGCTACTACAAGAACTGAATACGGCAAAGAGAACAGATTCCGTGCTCGTCGTGAAGTGGCAAGTCGTCCAAAAGCGGAGAATGAAAGTTCTCGGAGTCAAAGCTCAACCGTACCTCCCCGCAAAAATCTTGTTGACACTAAAACAAAGCGAACAGCGGGCAGTTCTAACACAGGGGATGTTAAAGAGGAGAGACACAGAGCGTACAACAAATTTGGAGCACCTCCGAAAAAAATTATCTCTACTGATAAAACCTATATTTCCCCTCTTAAAAGTGACAATGTGGTACGAACGACGAAAACCCGCGATGTGAAACAGGGCATAACGCGAAAACCGGCGAGAGAGACTGAACAGGAAAGTGACAACGATAAAAGCAGCGCTGAAGAGATCGTTAAACCTAATGTAAGCAAACTGAAACACATTTTTGATGAGACTATTGCGAATGAGGCTATAAAAGCACAGCAAACGTACAAGAAACCCAGGCCTGTCTCTGAAGCTTTTGACAGAGTGAAGGCAAATCATGCTAAAGACACATCACAAGGTGAAACCACAGAACGATGGTCCTTACCCAACTATTACAAAAAAACCTTACCCCCCACCCCTTCACACAAGCCACATGTGTCTTCAGGGATTGCTGCCAGGAGGGCTATGTTTGAAAGTGGAGGCTCAAATGAAGATTTACAAAAGAAGGAGAAACGATCGCCAAGTTTGCAAGATCTTGTTCCAGATTTGAAGGAATTAGATGTGAGTTTGCTTGGCAACAATGATCCTACCCCTGTGCAGAGGTCTCGTACAAGATCTGATCCAGGAACCAAAAGACCTCTGTACTTTATAAAATCTCGTAAACGCTTTCCATCTGACACTAAAGCTATGAACGGTGAGTACCATGGCACTGTTGACAAACTGAAGCAATCTCGAGATGACTCTGTTTTGAAGAAACCATCACTTGATACCAGACGCCTCTATAAGTCGCACAGTGTTGATTTTATCCAGGGAAGTCCATTGATATCAGATTCAGACATAGGAATGACGATGGAAAGCTTGACGAAACAGCAGCCCTCTTCTACAATTGAAAGCGAAGAAGAGAAATTCTTTCCACTCAACAAAAGCAGTGAGGCTAACACAGAAGTCAAAGCTGCTAATCCTGAGAAAGTATCTCCCAGTGTTCCTAAGGGATTAAAATCCCAGCGAAAGGAGGAACCACAGGATGATTTATATGATGACATCCCAGGGCGAATCCGTGAAGCATCTTGGATAGATGAAGAAATTCCAAAAGAGGAAACTGCTCCAGTAGAAATGTCACCCATAAGCATTACGCCTGGGTTCACATCAGTACCCAAATCAAATATTCTTGAAGTGGATTCAGAATCTCACCCAAAGCATGACAGTGTTTACTTCCTAAAGAATGAAGAAACCCAATTGCATAATGAAGAAACTGAAAGTTCTGGTGATGAAAGCACTGGAAGTGTTATTGAACACAGTGATGCTGATGAAGAAGATCGTGCACATCTTCAAACAGTGTCCCCTGTATCGTTACTTTTCTCAGCTAAGCCAGCATTATCAGCTTTGTCCAAAGACAAGACAAAAAAAGGAAGAAGGAATGTTGGTTTTAATATGGATAATCCTGATCTGTTTCTGACGTACAGTGCTGAGGAATATGATAGAGGCAATGATGGTATTGATCCAGTTACTGCGTCTGCAGAGTGGGAACTGGAAAAAAGAGTCGAAAAGATGGACATATTCTCTGTGGACCTGAGCAAAGGTAAGATTGATTAGATGCTGTAACACCCTTAACTTTAAACTTCCAGAAGTGATTAACATGGAACTTCTCCCTATAATATCAGTACTTTATCCAGGAAACTGGTGATAAGAATACTCAAAGTCAGCAAGTAGAAGTTGTTATCTTGATCTGACTCTAAATTCCTGTAACCAATTTTCAAGGAAATGAATGCAGTCAGAGAGTAGAATTAACAATCAGATCTTGGAAGTTAAAGAGATAAATCTTTTCACTCTTGAGAATTTTCTCTAAACAATATCAAAGAGTTTCCAATCGTAAATGCGATGAAAAAACCAAATAACCAACTTATTCCTCTTCAGTCCCTCTTCAAGAGTGGCCTTTACTTGCAAGCCTCCATCTTTTCTGACCTGGAGCTGTCTTCACTAAGGGTTATACTGTGATTGAACAAGAAAGTATGGTATATAATAAGGAGAATTAACATCCAGAGCTTAGGAGTGAAACAGTCTAAAAAGTTCCATACTGATCTTAGTTCTTTCCAATGTAAGACATTTTTTTATTTTCAAACTGTAGCCCATGTTTTTATTGGTCTAAGAAATTTCCATTATTAGGAAATTCTTCTAGGGCCTCCATGGGAAAATTCTAATCATGAAGATAACTGTACAAACTCTTTTTATGGTCATTGTTTAATGTTACAATTAACCCTTTAACTCCCAAGATCTCATTAGTAATTCTCCTTACTGTCTGCTATACAGTTCTTCTGATGTTAGTTTGGAGAACTTGGTATTAGATGAATTTATAATCCCCTAACTGATATTTTTCTTTATTCTCATCACTTGTCTGTTTGATGTTGTATTGATATTGTATTGATATTGTTAGGAGAAATTCTGTCTTGGTCACTCATGGGAGTTAAAGGGTTGAAAGACCCCTTTCTTTCCCTTCCTGACTGGAGTTCCAATTGTATTCTTAGAATATTATACATATTTTTTCCATTTTCAGATGAGAGAGGTCTGGGATTGAGTATAATCGGTTTAGGTGTTGGTACTGACACAGGGGTTGAGAAGTTGGGGATATTTGTCAAGTCACTTACAGAGGGAGGGGCAGCTGCAATTGATGGAAGGTTAGTTTTACTTTCTACAGTCACTATTTGTGAAATTTCATGGGTAACCAGGCATTATAGAGGGGAATGGAAGTGGTTAATTTGCAACCACTGGAAAAATTCCAGCATACTCAAGAACTAGTTTTACAGGCAAACATGTAGTAAAACTTATGTTTTGGTGGAATTTTACATGTTGGTTTTAACAGAGGGAAGAATTCTGGCGAAGTGATTAAAAAACCCTCAAATTGGAGAGGAATACCAGCTACAAATTCAATCCAGATGTTACATGAAACCTGATAATCAATTCTGACCATGGCAAACTCACTATCTTTCTATCTTGTTCCCCTACAATTTTATATTTCTACAATGCTTGTATCAAATGAATAATTCTTCAAAATTATATCCTGATATTGATTCTCTTTACCCTGCCAAACACTGCTATTGCCTAGTACAAGGTTGGTGTATCTACAGTCCAATAACATAAGCTGTATGCTCCCCTATCAGCTCACATACAGTACCAAGTATATACATGAAGACAGTGATTAATGAAACATCTTTTCTCTGACAGAATACAAGTGAATGATCAGATAATAGAGGTTGATGGAGTTTCTCTTGTGGGAGTAACACAAATATTTGCTGCACAGACTCTGAAGAACACAAGTGGACTTGTAAGGTATGAAGGCTGCAAAATTTTTCCCAGTAACAAATGGAAGCTGTTGTCACCATGATGATTACCAACAATTTAGGACAATTGTGGATTTTCTCTTAGAAGTGTCCCTTGTCAAAGTTTATTCATGTAAAACTGAGCCATGGTTTCCTCTATCCTTATTTTGAGCCCCTCCACCCATAATTTTTAGTCATCACACAAATTAAGAGTGCTTTTATCAATAAAATTAAAAAAAAAAAAAAAGAATAAAAAAAAGGTTGGGGTGGGTGGGGATGTCATTTGGAATTGTTAATGATTAATAAAAAAGTTGCTTTAAGCATTCTGTCAAATTTTGTATGACTTTCCAATATTTTCATTTACTCAGTAAAAAGGTTTTTTGAGTTGGTAGCCATAAAGTAGATACTTATTCCTGGACTTCTTGATTTACTTGCAATGTGCAGATGTCTGTAAAATGGAACTACAATGCCTTATTTGGATCAAACAATATAAGTTGTATGATATCAACAGTAATTTCCTGATTGCTTTTGTACAGGTTTCTAATGGGCAGAGACAAAAGCAGAGCTCATGCGTCACACAGGATTGACCCAAATGTTGAACAACAAATTGAGGCACTCAGACAGAAGCTAGCTGAGGTGGGTATAACAATGTACACGTGTAATGTACCTATGTTTGTACTGTAAATCCCTTGTATAGAGTCTTTTTTCTTATTGAAAATTCAAGAGAAGAAGCTTTGTTAGTGCCACAGTTATTAATTTTACAAATTTTAACAAATTCATAAAGTTGGCATTTATAGGGGATGAAAAGATTTCAACAATTTTAATCTGAATAGATATATTATATTTTTTAAATGTCTTTCATCACTCCTCCTCAAAAAAACCTAGCTGTCAGACCTTAAGGATGTAAGGCCAAATAATGGTGATTAAGAATGGCTAATACTTTGAATAATAGCAACTTTGTTTTGTTGTGTAATAATTTTTTTTTTGGCAACAAAATATGGGGGGGGGGGGGAAACACTTAATTGTCCAGGGCTGAGGAAGGAAGCAGAGTGAATTTGATCTTTGTCAATTGGTTTTGCATATCTGTAGGGTTATTAATTCATGGAAAAGCACCATATTAATGTTTTATGTTAACTTTATTGGTTTTGTAAACTTTTTTCAAAATTTAGTGTCTGTCATTTTTTCATAGACTGAAACCAAAGCTGAAGAAGCAGAAAAAAGAGCTTCCCTGGCAGAAAAAATGGTTCAACTTCAGAATAATATGAAAAAACCTGTGAGTAGGTGTAGTGTACCTTTTCTGGAATTGATATCAAGTCTTTCCTGTCTTCCTCTTCTCTTCATCTGCAGAATAATTATGACATCACCTTAGTTTCGAAGGGATAAAGGTGATGATTTTTGTAACAAAATTCAAGAGGTTCTGGGCAAAGATGTTAATTTATGCTAGAAGACATTGTCTGTACAGTGTCTCAAATGCTGCTGATGTGATGCATTATTGATTGATAATCTTCAAATAATTGTGGGAAAGTATATCCATTATTATTATAGGAATGGATTTTTTTCAGCTAGAAAAGCTTGCCATTTTCTGATGTATTATTATTTCTCTTATGGGTCACTGTACAAAAAGTATGAAGATCACTGATTACATTCCTTGTATTGATCCTGTAGGGAAAGTATATTTATTTAATTGTTTTTATAGGAATTGATTTTTTCAGCTAGAAAAGCTTGCCATTTTCTGATTATTATCATAGTGGAGCTCACAGAGCATAGCCCCATAATTATACAAAATAATAGTAACCCATCAAGCCGAAAAAATTTGGATGTACGGCCATACGACCATATGGTGGCCAACTGTACCACAGGCACTATCTTATAATCAGTCCTCTACACAGACACGGAGAAGTTGTGAATAGTAGGGGCTTTAGTTTTGTTGAAGAGAGGTATGAGAATGCAAGCTCTGCTTTTAGGCTTGCCTTAATCTATATATTATCTTTTATGAGTCACTGTTCAAAAAGTATGAAGATCAGTGAATACCTTCTATGTATTGATCCTGTAGGAGGTAACTGGAGAACAAGCCGATGATGAAACCAAGAAAACACAGAAAGCTTTAGAAGAGATGAAAGAGAAAGTCAACTCATTAGAATCAGATTTAGCTGTGTCTGAAGCAGAGAATGAAGACATGGTCAGGCAGTTGGAAGAAAGCAAAGGACTGTATCTAATATTGGAGAAGAAATACCACATTGCAAAAAATAAAGTGAAGGAACTTGAAGACAGGTAAAGTTTCATGGTAACGTAGATATAGTGCTTCTAGCAGTGAGAATTTCTTGTATGTTGTGGTTCATTGATTCACTTATTATTTTAATTAATGCTCAACTTCAATCATATTATTGATACTATTAATTATTGTATTAGTTGCATGGGAAATGTTGTTTCCCAATGGCTCACATACAGTACTTCAAATTGGGAGGTGGGCTTAGTTCAAGTCCTGAGGGCATTGTTGTGTTCTTTAGCAAATACTTCCCCAAGGGCACAATGGTAGAGATGATTATTCCTTTATGTGTATGCAAATGAGCTTTGTTAACCTTGCTTTGAAAGTTCTATTCTTTTGAGCCATGTTACTGAGGCCAGGAAGGCTTAGTTACATTTACAGGAGGGAATCACAATTACACCCTGTAGGCTTGCCATTTATGAGAGAGTTGCAGGCCAGAGAATGTGATAAATGTACTGTACAATTATGTTGTCTGTTGTTCTGGCAGAGAGCAAGCAAATTCTGTGACTGCTGAGAGATCTGCGATTGAAATAAAGTTACTACAAGATAAGGTGGGTACTTGTGACTTGGTTGATGTTAAGTTAGTCCCTTAACTCCCAAGATCTGATTGTCAATTCTCCCCTCTAGCTACTACACATTTCCTTGTAAATTGATTATGAGAATTTGGTGTTCAATCAAGGCAGTAAATTGTACCTGATGAGTTTGTGTATTCTCACTACCTGTTTTCTTTATAATGTATGGATACTATTGGGAGAAGTTACTGTACATGGTAATTACTTCTGGGAGTTAAAGGGTTAATAACATTTTGTCATGGAAATAACAGTTTGTGTAAAATGTGTTTCATTTTGCATAACTGAAGTTATGCTGTTTGCATAAATTTGAGGAGTTCAAGCTACACTCTTGTGTTTTGTGTGAATTTAGACAATTTGTGGTGTACATACGGTAGCAAAGTGCTACACTTACAGTAGGCTCTTCCATCAAAGGCAACCTTATTTGCAACTAAAACCTCACTGATAGCTAACAAAGAAATTTTTGGACGGTTAAGAATATATGAAGGTCATATATTTGAACTGCGGATAAAGACATGAATGAAAGTGATCTTCGCAGTGATGTGCACTACTTAGGCAGTAGTGAAAATAAGGCCTGAAAAAAATTCAGGCCTGTATGGGATGTATCTTGTTGGCAAGATGGGTGTAATAACATTTTCACTCCCAAGATCTCATTGGTGATTCTCTGTACTGTCTGTCATACAATTCTAAGGGTTTTAGTTGGGAGAATTTGGTATTGGATCAACTAAGAATCCCTCAATTGATATTTATCTGACTGTATTCTCATCACCTGTCTGCATAATATTGTATTGATATTGTAAGGAGAAATTCTGTCTTGGTCACTCATGGGAGTTGAATGATAAACTCTTTGCAGAAGGTTAAACAATGTGCATTCCTGATGCTCAGTTGTTTTTACTTGAATCATCTGCTCATTTTTCTATTTCATTTTCACCCTGGTGAATTTTGAGTTGTATTTAAGGTTTCAGTCATGAGTCATCTGTCATTTTTCACAGGTCAAAGAACTGGAGACCCAGTTGAAAATGGTTCAACAGCAAAAGTCAGAAAAGGAAAGAGAAGTGAAAAAAGAGGAAGCAATATCAGCTCCAGTGCAAATTGAAGAACAGAATTCTATGCCTGATGGCAAATGGAGAGAGGAGGTTCAGGAGGAAATTGTAGAAAATGGACTGGCTTTTGAAGTAGAGCAGGCTTTGTCAAACTTCCAACTTAGTTGGGATTCAGCTGGAAAAAAAGATGTCACAGGTAACATGTGAGATCTGATTAACAAATGGATTCTGGTGAGGCATCATTCCATGAACACCTACCAGCATTCCATGTATAGGAGGAGAAAGTTATAGTTTTACAGCCCTACACTGTACAATCGCTTGCTTATATTAATCTTGAGTGTATGTATACTTACCTGCTAATCAAAAAGATATGCAGGACATTAAGAAACACCCAGGACATAAGGAAGAGCTTAACTTCAATTATAATGATGATACAATGCATGTGGTACCTTGAACTCTAAAATGTCACAATTCATATGGGTAATAAACTCTTTTTTTCTGTCAATTAGAGCCCGATTTGGAGAGCTCATCAAAAGATGATTTGGATCTAAACAGCATCCCAGCCACAAAAACACTTAGTAATGAACATCTTTTGGAGAAAAAAAGACTCGCTGAAGCGCAGCAGAAGAAATATAAACCAACTCGTGCAAGCTGGGGAAAGTCGCTGGATGATGATTCTTATGACGTAAGACATTATATCTTTGATTCAAGTGCGTATGTAATTTTCCTTCAGCACGCGTGGAACTTTCTGTTTAAAGGCGCGTGTAATTGTCGCGCGTTACATGCGCTAGACGCGCCTGAAGGTGCTCCAGTACGATCGCTCATGGTTTCCTGCTCTTGAGGCTTCGTACAGGAATTAATTTGACTTCTAATCAGCTTCTTGTGGTGTTGTCCTTTGATGTGACTGGCTAAGGTTCTAAGTGGTTCTAGAACGCTCAATCATAAAAGTATATTGCATGATTTTAACTCTTTAACTCCCACTTGATCTGATTGTCAATTCTCCCCTCTAGCTACTTCACATTTCCATGTAAATTGAATTTCTAACATGACTTTCTATTTAGATGTTTGGAGGTAATGAAGTGTCTGACGTGGAGGACGCTCCTTCTCAGAGTATTTCTATGGAAAACGAGTCCCCCAGGGGTCCCCCTAAGGGACCAGGATTCGTCCTTCCAGGTTTGCCTGTCGGAGGATTCAAACTGAGATCCACAGGGAAAAACTTGTACGATGAATCAGCTGCTAAGGGAAGTGAGTCACCTCCCCAAGAGACGCGAGCCAGCTTCCCTTTGTCGCACAAGGAGGAGACGCGGAACATCGTGGTGGAGAATCTCCTGGAGAAGCAGCTGTCTAAGGCTGATGTGAAGGTGACATCTTTGCCGACTACTGCGCTTGACCGAGCGGACAGAGAGGCGCGTCGTGCGGTGGATGATCAGGAGTCGGAGTGTTTTTCAGGGTCCACTAATTCTTTGGATGAGATTGAAGAAGCTGCGAGAAGGGTGAGAGAGGGTTGAGTTTTCTTTTTGTCTTTTTCGGCTCTAAACCATAACGCTTATCCGGTGAGTTTACTCAGTTGCAAGGGCAAATGAAGCCAAAAGAGTCATTTGCGGAGACGTGAACATTCTGAAGAAAATCACATAATAATTGTTTGGCAAGACGGAATGTTCCAAAAAGATTATGGTAAATGTACAGTGCGGCTGGCGTGTACCATAGCATTACACGCGCTTGACGCGCGCGGAAGGTGCTACCGTACACGCGAGTGGTGTACAGAAGCAAGGATGGTTAAGAATGGAGGAGATTGGAACGGATTGAAAATGACCAACTTGAAAACTTGGTCTTTTTTATTGAAGTTTCCTATTTGTGTTCAATCAGGAAGCTCAAATGGTGTTCCATGTTTTTTTCCAATTCCTTTGCGACTTAACGTTTTCAATTGTAATTTTTTTTAGATTGACTCCGACTTGGCCTCTTCCCAGGCCTCCTCTCGAGGTTCGTCTCCATTCCTCCCTCCTGCCATGCCCTTGTTACAAGTGAAGAGTGTTCCCGTGATGGAAAGCTATAATGAAGCCGCCATTGATGTTCCCCCGGAACTGCTTGCAGCCAGCGGTCAGCGAGACTTCGATCAACGATCTGTAGGCACAGGGTCAAACGTTGACGGGCAGTCTTCTCTTAGTCCTGGGTCAGACTTAAATTCATCGGGAAATTCACAGCTGATTTCAGACTGGGACACAGATCAGGTGAGTTGCAAGGGGATACACGTAAACAATACAGCAGAGATACATTTAAAAAGAAGTTTTGCAGACAGAAAGTTAAGCAGACCCAAAGTGTGGGAGTTGCGTGACTGACTGGTGGTAGACAGATAGACCGACTGACAAACGTACAGACGGATGGACGGACAGACAGAACGACTGATAGACAGACCGACAGAGACGGACAGACAGATAGACAGACAGACGGAAGGACGGACTGGCAGAGAGATAAACTGACAAACACAGGCATTATCTGACTGTAAAATAGGGAGTATCAGACCCCTGATAACTGACTTGGAGGTAGATACAGACGAGAAGACAGATAGACAGAAGAATGAACGGACTGATAAGAATCTAGTGCCAGTTTTTCTTGCAGTCGTTGGATTAAACTCATACAAAGGAAGTGAGTCTTTTTGAGTTCACGTACCAATATGTTACCGTAATCTAAACGGACTCATGATTTTTTACCATGTTAATGTTATTTATTTAACTGATTTCTCTAAATTGTCGTTTAGGTGTATGCGTGGTTAATCCAAAATGAGTTGGACGAGTATGCCGATGAGTTCACTGCTAAAAAGATTGATGGAAAACAACTATTAAACTTAGATGGATCCAGACTCAAGGTAGGGTTCTGTGCCTTGTTTCAGAATTTTAATCTTTACCCCACCTCTCACGGCGCCTTGAATGGCTGACTTCTAGATTTTATGTCAGTTTGCCGCAGAATAATGAAACAGTTTGTAGAACTGAAGAGATAAGTTGCTCAATTTTCAAGCGCGAAAAGGAGAGAAATTCTCTGTAGGGAGACTGCAGGAAGACATGATGTATCTGGTTCTGGCTTCTCTTCCCTCCCACTCCCCCACCGCCATTTTCAGCAAGGGAACAGTCATTATTCATCGCCTGTGGGGGAGGGGGTCGGAGAATTGTTGGGATCACATGGGTTCTTGGGGAACGGAGTGGGAATTGGGGATCAGTGGTTGCCAACTGCCAGTGAGGGGAGATGATAAGAATATCTCTGAACCTTACGGGGGATCGGGTAAATTTTGTCGTGACACAAACATCATCCGACCCCCCCCTCCCCCCCTTCCAGGCGATTTTATGAATGATGACCAGTCCCTAAGTGACGGGTTTTTTTTTTAACTCTCGTCACTAACCTGCATAGCTTTGAACGGGAAATTTTAAGAGAAGGTGGACATTGATCACAGTTCGCTTTTTTCAGGCAATGGGAGTGAGTCAGAACCACAGAGCTGTCATCAAAAAGAGGATCAAAGAGCTTAAGGCTGAGATGGAACGAGAACAGAAAGCGAGAAAACAGAGAGAAAAAGAGCAGAGAACTGGCAAAAAGGAAGGAAAGTTGGAAAAAATGGGATTCATGAAAAAGAAAGGAGTTTATAATATCAACTAATTTCTGCAACGCGGCGTGAGATGCTGCTTGGCAGGTTTTTCGGCTTTTAAAAGGCAAACACTCCTGAGGAAGTAGAGACCGCTAGCCTAACAACCGTCGTTTGCTCGTATAAACTGCGGAAATATTTGGCATTGTCGGGCTTTGTGCGCAATTGGAACGCGCTTGTGGTACTTCACGTTCGTCGTTTACAGTGTATTATAGGTAATTTTGTAAAAAAAAAGAACAAAAAGTATAAAAGAGATGAAAACGATTAAAAAGAATACAGCAATAAAATATTAACATGAATTACAACTTGAATTAGCAAATCGTCCTTTGAAAATTGTGCAAATCTGAAAAGTTAATTTAATTCAACGTTTCAAAACGAATTGAAATTCAATTGTAAAAGAGATTTTTTTTACAATGAGTTATCCACCGTGCCACGCCCTAAAAAATGTTCAATTTTTGTGCCAGTTAATCACAGACGTTCTAATTTCTACCTTATAAAATATTGTATCAGTGTCAGTATCTTAGCTGCTACACACCTACCCCTCCCTTAATCCAGTGTTAACCTTAACTTGTTATCAGTTGACTGTGGTTAGTTTAGGGGAGGGGTAGGTGCGTATTTGTGCAGAAACTGACATTGATCCAAAATATTTGTAGTACCTCTGTTACTTTCAAGAACAAGTGAAATTCGTTGATTTAAGAGATAAAGGAAAAACAAATTCTTGTGTATTTTCTAACTGATAAATTCCTACCATCAGAATTATACTTTGTTAATATTACCTGCATTTTTATTCCAATTTACAGTCAGTGTTTCTTTTTTACAACATCGCAAAATGTTAATTTTTTTTTGTCGAATTGGTGAAATGATCAAACAGGCTTATACTGAGATGTGAATTAGTGTTGAGCAGTAATCATTGGTGTAAATTAAATGGGTTAATGGATTTAAATTTGTGACCTAGAATATTATTTGACGTACTTTCTACGTGGTAAACTATAGAGCTGAAATTATTTGATAAATAAATAAAGCTGAAGATTTTTTTTTAAAATCTTACTTCATATTTTAACGATAGAACAGTATCAAGTATTATTTGTCTTTTATTTACGTTGACAGACCTGTAATGTTTTCGTTTGAAAGTTGATATTATTTCCTTCTCCCGTAGTCAGGGTTAAACAGACAGTTTTTAAACTACCCAAAACATTTGTATTTCAGAACCATGCGCTTGTCCATTACCAGTTCACAACAAACACAGCTGTCAAACAGCTCTAATTTGGTATAAATAAACACGGGTAAATTTTTCAAAAACAAGAAAATTGCACGAGAAGAATCTACAAGTACGTATTAAGACGAAATTGCACGCGATTGATGATAATTAACACGAAAAACAGCACACAGTTAAAGAGAGAAAGAAATTGACAGCGCCAGTCACGCGGTGGTTTCTTCTCCTTGCCTGTTTTCAGGTCTGTGATGGTCCTTAGAAATATAAATCAGAAGAAAAGAAGTGAAAAAAACCTTAAAATCTAGTTTAGGTCCACTTAAAGTCATCCTGAGAACGTGAATACACTGTTCTATCTCCCCACCCATGGGACAAACGGTGCGCAGGATTTTTTTTCCTTCCTCGCCACCAGCGATGGTGATGCATGCTGGGAGAAATGGCAACAGTTGTTATACTTACATGACACCATAACTGAAGAGCGCTACAGCTATCAAAATCGCAGTGACAGAGTCCAGGTAACAGATTTTCGGGTTGTTTGAACAGACCACATCACTAGCCACCATACCGAGGGTCATAATAGCACCAGCCAAAGAATTAATCGCTAGAGAGAATTGAAAAGGTAAAAAGAAACACACAAGGTTAGTGAAGACATTACGTAGGATGTTTAGTAATTAATGCATCAAAGCAGGAATTTCTCGAGCGGACCCTCGCAATTGCGGCTTTCCAAGTGAAATATTTGAGTAAATTCAAGTCTTATCCGTTAACCTTAAACGAAAGTTCGATTTGTGGTCGACAGCGCGAAAAGTTGAGTATCATTCTGCATTTTCTGCGTGACACGAGCTCCAAAAGATGTTGTGTGATGATCAAGTGGCTTAGTAAAGTTCTTGGAAAGCAATTTGATCGCAAAATTGAAAAGAGACGAAGAAAATACGCTTTATCATCCATGCTTTGGTGGAAAGTATCGCTCTCGGAATATTATCTTTTACTTCACGAGGCGAGAAATTCCAAAAAATGAGAATTTATCAAATTTGAAACGCTAGAATGAGTATTCCAAACAATTCATGTATGTGTTACCATCTATCCTCATTGCTCGGCTCTCGAGTTTTTCTGCTATTATACATTTGAAAGCCGTCAGAAATACCAGGTAAACCAAGCTGCTACCTGACAACATCTCCATCAAAAACTCCTGCAATTGACATAAAATTCACTGAGTTCTACGCATTTATCAAAAGCTAACGGCTTTTGCAGTGTAACTGTAAACAACAAATCCTATGAATCAGAAAACAGTTTTTTTCCCATGCTAAGGAGGCACGTTAACCCTTTACATCCTAAAATTAACTAAAATTAAATGTGATTAACATGTAACTTCTCCCATAATATCCATACATTATCCAGATTACTCAAACTTATCAGGTAGACGTTACTATGATACAACACCAAATTCTCATAACTAAATCACAAGGAAATGTTTAGAAGCTCGATGGGAAAATTGACGAACAGAACTTAGGAGTCAAAGCGTTCAAAAATTTGTGATGGGTGTTTTGATATAATTTTTTCTCTTGCCTTGGTTGGTATTTTGTCCTTCAGTAAGGTGAAGATGGTTTTTGCTGCTATGGCAAATGCTGAGAGGATAAAACATATGGCTATCGCTAAACATGCCCTACAAAGTAATAAATGCAAAAAAAAATTGATTTCAAAATTTTTTTCAACTCCAGTCACGTGCCTTGTGACCCGTGCAAAATTTATTTCAGGGAATGTCTCCTGTTCGGGAAACAATTAAATTAATTATATGACAATAAAATCTATAGTTCTTGCATGGCAGCTGTATTTCATGAGCAGCCGGCTCCAGATTCCGGCGTACATATTTGGAGTGCCTTGCACGGGGCCAATCAGAGCGCGAGATATCGTGCGCAATATTGTCGATCCTTGTGGCCGATAGAAAGCGGAGGTTCCCAAAGTTTTGCAAGAAGCTAAAGCGATGTATACGAACCTTCGTTCTCGTTCCAACGAGTTTGAATCCTTTCGGCTTTCTTTGAAGGAAAATCTCCAAAGAACTACTGCTGAACTGAAAGAGTCTAACACGGCTGCAAGCTGCAAGTGAATCAACATTTTCAGAAAGGAAATTTTGATAACTTAAAAGTTATTTTCAGTCTTTAACAATGTCCATCTACTTTCATAAAACGGGGAATAAGTCCAACGGAAGAACAAGCCGTAGACAAACAAGATATTAATAGAGAAAGAGAACCCTTTTGTTCCCGAGAGGTTCGACTCTTCAAGTTAAAAACAACAGAAAATTTGCAAGACTTTAGAGCCTTGTGCTGCGAATGAAAATGTAACTCTAAATGTCAAACCTTTAATGAAAGATTTGGTTTATAACCAAGTGGATTTTAGAGAATATTTCTTCTCGATCACCCTCACAGCATTTATTCTTTACAGTTTCTTTAAGCCTACACATTTAAGTAAAGCAGATGACGGAAACTCCGTTTTAGCACGATTCATCCACCAATCTTTTTCGAAACACTGCAATTATTAGTGATTTGGAACAGTATGTCTTGTTTTATGAAGAATTACAGACTTATTTACACAAATGCTTTGCTCCTTGAAATAGCGACCTGTAACCCTGAATATACATACAAAAGTTTTTATACTGTGAAACCCTTGTGGCTTCGGAGTTGCCCTACATTAGTTTAAATACAAAGCTGTCTCGTTTGCTGAAATATAGATCACGAACAGTTTAATTTTTTTTCTTATTTTAACGTGGCTTAGTTACTTTTTTGAAATTACACACTAAAACTTAATGAGCTTTTCATTTACGAAGGCAGAACAGAAACGTCAAGTTTTGTTATAATGGAAACATCAGCTGTGTTTGAAAAGTCTAACAGCTAATTAAAGCGACCTCCAGGAGTGTTTTTCTTCACACCCCCTCAATATACAAATTTGCAATAGTTGCTTTTGGGTCCAAACTGAACGGAGACTGTCAAAAAGCGCAAGAACAAAGCTTTATTCACCTGTTTGAATTAATTTCACCAGCCGTGAATAAAAAATAGTGTTAGCATAAAGTGTTACTAGCAAAGTTATATAATGATCTTAAATAAAAGACACTTACGGAAAATCCAAAGGCCGCAGGACTACCAGCAATTTGAGAGAAAACTGTGAAAAGAATAACAAGGATTTTTGATTAACGAGCTAAAAATTGTGATTTGAATACTACTTAACGACTCCATAGACAATAACTGGTTATCCACCATTAATTTGGTGATATTGAACGACTTAAATTAAAAGGCATGATGTATTAATTTTGAAAAAATGACTTACCGAAAAATGTTCCTCCAAATCCTGTGGTCAAAATGATAGAAGCACACGAAACACAAATGGCCGCTTTTCTCCAAAATGCGTAAAATTCATCTCCTTTGTCTGTTAAATAGAGAATACCTTTATGAAAATAAGCTTGTGTTTATGTAATTTTACCATTGTCTTTTGTAATTTTACCATTGTCTTCCAAAACCAACCCTCTCGAATGAATTTTGTCGAATGGTTTCCAATGAAAATTATTTTTGTTTTCCATAGTATAAAATATTAAAGAAAATGAAATCAGGGGAGAATATTTCTGGAGGAGTTTCCAGGATAAGAAATCTAAGGAAATAACATAGTGAGTGGGCTAACTGGTTCCTAAATTATAATCACGCTAATTATTTTGTAAATTAGTTATTTTTAAACAATTTTAGTCCGAAAACACGTAATGATTTTACTTCGAGGTCTACAGCGTGGTTTGAAACCCTTTCATTCAATGTTTCGATCGATTTATTTAACGGGATGGGTATTCAATCCTCCCAACAGTATACTTAACGATTTCAACATCAATCATGAATGCTTGTTGAGTTTCGTTATCTTTCTTACTGATCTCAAATTCATAGGCATTGTAAAATGATGGCGTCTTGATAAACCACTCATGTTTAAAGGCACGCTTACCTGTGCTTGAGTCTTCACTTTTTTTCCTACTGATTCCATAATTGTTCTGTTCGTTTTCAGTCTGATTTACTAGTGCTCGGAGTTCTAATTCATCGCCGTTTTTTTCGCCCATTGTTCGTCATCATCAGTTAAGAGAGCTTGATATTTTTAATGAAACCTTTTAGGTCAAATCGCAGTGAAATGAAAGATTTCTTCACCCGAAATCTGTGGAGGTTCTAAATTAAACTGCAGTTATATACGCTCTTCTTGTAATAAGAGGCGTATTATATCAAAATATTGTGATGTTTACAATACTTTGCATGTAATAGATGACTGTCGGCGAATTCTTTTCTTGTGTGCATTGCTACCTAGCCTACGCTGTCTCTCTGTGATGTAAATCTTAGTTATCTTGAAGTGGTCACAAGAAAATAACCATAGTTTTTACTTAATAAATTCTGCGATTCCTGGAATTGCTATTTATGGTTTGTAAAGGGAATTGTAAAACAGATTTTATCAAGTCACAAATCTGAATGCGTTGTGGGGTCTGGTGAGAAATTTTTAAGTGAATCTGGGACCGACAAAGGAGGGGTCTGAGTAAGCAAATTGCCGTTCCCCTGGGGAAACAGACATTGTAACAGACAAAACACTGAGTGAAGTTGGCCAAGTCCTATAATAGGATAATTTAGTATTATCGACTGAGTTGATAACGTAAATTGGCCACCGTAAAAGAGTATAAAAGCTGACGTTTCGAGTGATAGCCCTTCGTCAATCACTCTGACAAGGGGCCCAACGTTTGAAACGTCAGCTCTTCAACTCTTTACGCCGGCCAATTCACGTTATGACTCGGTTGATAATGTTAAATTACCCTGCTACACTCTCCCACCGACGCGGCACCAGTTTCTTCAGAAACCTCCTCCTTTATTAAGTCCTATAATGTTACGTGGCGACTCAGATAAGGGGCTCAGCAAAGAGCCTTCCGTTTATGCAAATGAAATTGCAAGGATTCTGAATGAACAACAACGACTTCGTCGATGAATGCTATAATGTGTAAGAAAGGCCTCGAACATCCGAGGCCACACAATGACCATTCTTTTGACTCCGTAATGTCCGTGATAGATTTAGGAAACTTGGGGACCAAAATCTTCGCAAACTGCTAAAAGTACGGAAGCATACAACAGCCTCAAACCGTTTCTGAGATCAACACCATTTTCGCGACAAAAGCACATTGTACGTATTCTACCGTGTTTACATTTTATTCATTTTTGCATGGTTTTTGCAATTTTGGTGTTATATCTTACTCATTAAAAACTTTAGATTGAAAGCTAAGGGCTCCCGCCTTAGAGACAGTTTTTTTCTAACTAGAGCTCGAGAATGCTCTTTCATATAAACATAAATTTTAACTCTGGTCACTATTGTTTTTCGAACTCAGGCGTCCTTTTAATGTTGGTGTGGTATGGAAAGCAGCATGAAATATCTTTAAAAAATTAGTCTTTTCTCTCACACCTTTCAGCTGTTCAAATAGAGAATGATCATTCTAGCTCTTTTAAGACTATTCAATAGTTGCACTGGAATTATACCGAGCCTTTACATTGAAGTTTTAAGGTCTTTCGAAATTCGCTCTTAAATTCAACGGCATTCTCAAACAAGTGAAAGCTTTCCTCAGCTTTCTTGAGTTCTGGAAAGCTTACGCAATCTTACTGGAGCCCTTTTTATCGAAATTCTCTGATTTTGGTGATACCTTGGCGGAAATCCCTGATTGTTTGCACGTGTTACGTAGCCCAACCAATCACGGCTAATATGCCATTTTTTCAGCCGATAAAAGATCAGTCCAAAAGGACATGTGACTTGGCTTATGCGCATTTTGCCGCGCTTGCCTCTCATAATTTTTCCCGCGATTACCATCGGTGACATATCCATATACATATAAAAATTAAACAAAAAATACACACATTTTTATTGTTACCACTAGGATACAAATTCTGGCTTAGCGTCGTTTCACGTACCTATAAACTTTTACTTATTGCTATTAATAGTTTATGCATGTACAAGCATATTTTGACGAAGTAAAAGCGACAAATCATAGGAAAAGAAAAAAACTGCTCAGCCGTTCGATGCTTCATTACTCCGAATGTGCTATTAGGAAGCGAGAATCGAGTGTTACTAGCAAAGTAGCATTGCTATTAATTTATTGATAATAACTTTATGATTAATTAATAACATTACAATTAAATCGAAAAAACTCTTCTTGTTATTGTTCAGAAACAAGACAATTTTTCCCCTCCCTTGTGTTACCGAAAGTCTACATCCACTTTTACACTTCAGACAGGTTAACGAGAAATGTGGTTACGTCATACGAGTTCTTATTTTCGTTTGGAAACTATAAACAATTCAGTATGACGTTGTGGATAGACTGGTAACTAATATGGCATATAGTACTAAGAATGGATTCAATACACCACGTTTTTTTCATTCCCTTTGCTCAGGTAATTTGATTAAACTTCCAATTTTTCCAATTAAGTAATTTTCTCAGTACTTCAGGGAAGGAAAAAAAACCGTTAATGATTGGCTAAATATTTACGCAGTCACCGTAATTTACCACAAAAGTGATTGGTCAGTAATGAATCGCGTGGAAAATGGGCGCCAAAAAAGGCGCTCTGGCTCAAAGAATTGACTGACACGTCATAGCCCGCCGCCGCTACGATCCACGGGAATCTCACGTGTCAAGTGTTTATGATGGCGGTCTATAATGACGGCAAACCGATTGTTGGCGACTGCTCCAGTCTTGATAGCACTCATGACCTGAAGCACAGAAAAAATAATAATTCTCGCACCATCGTCCGCTTCATTTATTGATGTTAGTAGTAAGAATTTGATACTGCATCAAAGATTTTATGAAGTAGGACACGCGAAAATGGGAAATGCGAGGCCATGCAAGGAAAATGGAATGGAAAGCCGACTTTAAGAAAAGTAGTTAAAAGGAACAAATAAAGAACAAAGGAACTATTGAACGGTCGAAAAAATGAACGAAAGAGTCGATAACCGGAAGAACAAAAGAACGAGAGGTTATGAATAATCCTTAATTTACTGAAAAATACTTTTTTTTACCTGCAAAAACTCATCCAGTTCGACACACGAGTTTCTGTTGGTATCCACCTCTGCTATGACTTCATGAAGATGTTCCTCTGATACATCTTCACCCATAGCTTTCAGCATGTTCCTTAAGTCGACCGAGGTCACACACCCCCGCTTTGATTTGTTGGCTTTTTGGAAAATTTTCTCGTATTCTTTGATTTCGTCGTTGTTGAAATTGACCTCCACGCGTCGGACGTGGTCAAGAACCTCTAATCCCATGGCTTCGAGGAACTTGTTAGCGTCTGCTATCTCAGCCTGGAAAAAGAAATGTTATCATCTGAAAAGGTCAATGATACACGCACTTTGATTGGTTCTTCCTTATGATTTATTGGCGGACAGACGCATAAATGACGTCACTATAAGCAACAAACGTAGGATGACAAATCGAAGTCACTTCGGAATTCTCGTGCAATGCAAAAACCTATCTCCCATGAAAATTCATCAGTTACCTCTTTCTTGGCTTTGGACCACTTCAGTTCCTTCGCCATGATATCGGCAATCTTCGGAATGGCGTCCGCGGCAGCCTGCGCGTTTAAAAACGCTAGACGCGTTCTTCGGGCGAGAAAATCAACCACCGTACACGCGTATTCCTGCACGGCATATTTAATTTCTGCTTCAATGTACGGGAATTGCTCCAAAAGGCGTTTCCCCACGACTGGCCACCGACGTCCAGTTATGTTGGCAAGCTTGGCTACTTCTGGTGCTTTGTTGCCGTAAGTGTGGGAGAGATGTTTGGCAATCTGTATTAGAAACATGAAATGAAAACAATTACAAAAGTAAACAATAAAAATTCTCCTTGGAAATTGATGTAGCTCCTTCAAGAGCGCTAAGGAGAATTTTACGAACCTCCACTTCGAGACCAAAGTCCTGCACAAGTCGTATAAAGTCATTCGGTGAATAACCTTCCCCTCCCTCGAGAAAAAGTCCATCTGTTTGACACTCTCTGGCTGGTTTGAGCCCGCACGCCTTTATAGCAGCCTCCATCGTGTCCACAGCCATGGATCGGTAAGTTGTCCATTTGCCGCCGGCAATAGTCACCAGTCCACTTTTGCTGACAAGAATCAGATGGTTTCGAGCGATGGATTCTGTGTTTTTGGAGTTGGGATCGATGACCAAGGGCCGAATCCCGCTCCAGGCCGCTAGTACATCACCACGGCGAACTGCAAGAAAGTGTGAAAAAGATAATTGGATAATATAACATACGCAATCGACCAAACATAGAGAGATACACTCGTTATTGACCAAACGTCAGAAAAGAATGGAAATTACTTTGCAAAGTTCTTTTGCATCTTATGGACTGAGACCGAGTGGAAACATTCGTAAACCTCCCCCCCCCCCCCCCCAAAAAAAAAAAATTTCCCCACACTGCCGTTTGATAGAATTACTCACCGTCAACGTCTGGGCTCAGGTAGTGTCTTATCTCACTCAGAATAAACTGTATCTCGGCCTCTTTTGGTAAGGGGTTGAACGACAGTTCTGTTGGTGTATCAGTAGTGCCTGCTATCGTCTTTCCTGCAACATTACAAAAAACAATAACAATATTACAGCCAAAGTTTACTCTACGGCAAACTGGTCAAACTTTTCCATTACTGCAAAGAACTTCGGCTCACCTTCCCATGGGAGGAAAAAAATGACACGCCCATCGCTTGTGGCAGGGTCTAGAAGTCCCATGTCCGATGGACTGCGGTGAACGGAAACAAAACAGTCAACACACAAACAATTGTTCTTGATTCACAGAGGCATTCCTGTCTTCAGGTACTACGTGGTTATTACCTCTAAGTCTAAAAATAAAACCTCATTTGTGACCACTGACATGAAAGCTACGGTAGAGTACTTTCAAATACAGTTGTATTGTTTAACGTGCCGCAATAGGAAGCTTGAATTTTTAACCTTTCAATTTCCAAGATCTCTTTTACTTAGTAATTCTCCTTACTGTCTACTATACCATTCTCATGATGTTTGTTTCGGAGAACTTGGTATTGCATCGACTACATATCCCCCTAATTTATATATTTGTTTTTATGTTTGTTTTAGGGGTAATACTGATAGGGGTAAAGATAGTAATCACTCTTAGCGGTTAAAGGGTTAATATTGTAATAATAAATTCTGTCTCTATCACTCATGAGAGGTAA